AGCTTCTTATTGGTATTTGCAGTATAATGGATACCATCAAAGCTGGAATAGTCTAAATTAGATGTGCCAGGAAAAACTTTAAACGACCTATCACATCGGAAGCTTGATCGTAAAGAAGAAAATCCAGTAAATCCGCTCAATTTTCGTTGCATGGGTAAATCGCACAAGATTTGATACAAACAGGCATCGTAATCTTGGCCATGTTTTCCAGAATTGAATGTAGACATTTGAACACCAAAATACAAGGGGCGAAGTTGGTTTGTAACAATGGATAATAGGCGTTGTGTTTGACAAGTGTTGGGTTAATGAGGCCCTTCGATTAATGCAAGAAGTATCGTGTTTTCTTTCTTTATGCGTTCCTCGACTGGTAAATTATTTACTTGCAGATAAAAAGCGACGCAAGAAGCGGAAGTAGTATCATATGGTTGGAATCCATCTATGTTGAACTGGGTTGTAAGTATATCTCGTCTTTTTTTTTTTTTTTTTTTTTTTTTTGTATTCTTACCTGCATTCAATGTCAAACATAAAGATCTACTGCTGTTTACAAAAGGGTCACTACTGGGGGAAAGAATACTTCGCCACATTTTTCCCTGGAAGCAATGGTACATCATATCAGTTGAGTTTACAGCCTCTTCAAAACTACGTCGTTTTCCACATTCCTCCTCGAATCCTTCTCTCAAATACAGCTATTGGATCGAACGTACAAGACAATGGTATACAACCTTTTTGATTGGAGTATCGGAACCGTTTTGAAATAATGGGGTTTGACAAGATATTTTTTTTTGAGGATATTGATAAATGTACATATTTGTGGAGGCCCAGGCTTTGTTAACCGTTGCTTGTAGCATTAAGATAAACTGAATAGCATTTAGGACAAGTTGTGTAGACAGTCATGTCTTTGGTAAGATCAATAAATCCAGTTTGAGGCTTGATGGTCGGTAGCGATTTTGGAAATTCGAAATTGCCCAATAGCATACGGAACAGATCAAGTAATTTGTGTGTAGCGATGATAGTCAAAAAGGTTATTTGGAACATAAGTACAAAACAGCAAATAAACAGGTAAGTGGGATCTTGTGGTATTCTGGGATGATTATTTTGATGGGCTACGATTGTTTCAATAAAGTTGTCAATTTTTCCTTGGGGCAGCCAAAGTGTAAGATCTGTGATTTGGCTATCCTTTAGACTTGGAAACAAGAACATATCATCAAAAATAAAATAATTATGAATAAATGTATATTGAATGATTTGTACTTGGTTTGACAGTTCTACCATCACTCCTTTGCCTTTAAGCTCGTTTTATCTTAATCTTACACAGAAATTTTAAGGTAAACTCCAAACGAGTAGCTGAAAGTAAGCTACAACACGTATATACTAGTTTAAACTACGTGGTTGTGATAAATTTGTATCTAGTTCAAATTATTAAGTTATATTGACTTCTTGGTGTCTATTAAAATTTCATAGTCCCAATATTACGACTACGCGCACCATGACTGTCCCTTAGAGACCCGTTATTTTCAAGAGGGTAGATGCCTAAAGCATTGTTTTTTAAACGCTTTTTATTTTAACGTAATAAACCTTTTTTGTTTTTGTTTTTACTTATTACTTATCCTTATTAAATTGCATTTTATCACATTTATCCTTAAAATTATAGCAAAATAAATAAATAAGAAAAAAAAAAAAAAACTTAGGCAAATAAAAATGAGATTTAACTCAAAAGCACAATGATAAAAACCTTTCAACTCTTTCATATCATGCTTGCATATATTATATACTGGGGGTACTATTCTTTTTCGATTTGTTTTCAAAAAAAAAAGTTTGCTTGGGAACGGCCTTGTTCTGCTTCAGTTGCCTTTTCAGGTATTTCAGGTAATGGAGATAGTGGATGACTTCCAAAACACAAAATAGAATTAAATAGAATAGAATTAACTTTTTTGACCCGTACCATATATGCAAAACTCTACCTAAACAGCTACATTATCAGATGACAATGATGTCTGAATACATCCAGACACCGGTAACCAAGATAGTTTAACTATTATCAATGATGCTCCTTCCATTCGCACTAAAACCCATCATTTTTATATGCACAGTAGCAACTCACTGTTACTTCTCCTGAAAGGGTAAAAAAGACGGTTCTCATTAGCGTAAAAGAGCCAAATAAATAAACTGTTTTGATAAATATTATCCATAGATCTCATATTTATTATCTGAATGTTATTAGCGTTTATCAGGAATGAATTATTTAATAGAAAGATGATTTTTTTGTTAATTTTTTTTTAATTCGGGGGGAAGGGGGGTCAAAAATTTAAGCGGTGAAATTTAAGGTTAATTCCACGTTACACGACCCAAAAAATTAAGTCTATTCTATTTGCATTTTAGAAGTCATCCAGTATTCTTGTTTCTTTCATTAGAAAAAAAAAGGAATATCAAATCTACGTATCTTTTTTCCTGTTCTTTTCAACAACCTTTTAAAACAGATTATGGTGTTTTTGTGTGTTTGTCGGGACTTCACTAAATCTGTCAGCCCAGGGAAGTTGGTTTCGTCTGTACCTTATGAGCAAGTAACCATTTTATCAATAAAGTCATGCACAATATCTTCATTTGAACCATCGAAAACAGAAGCACCTGACAACCATACTAGCTTACGTACATGTGGACTTCTTCGGTGCTGAAATTCGATGCGATAATAGTAATCATCTACAGAGTGATTTCCAAATGGACCGTGAGGGGGTTTCCATGTTCACTTCAAGTGACGAAAACGTCGATCGAAATATCTTGCACAAGTTGGTGCGTCAGCTTACATATGTCTGACAACATTGTCACTTGACAAACAAGCAGTCTCCTCTTTTGTTATGTCCTGCTTGTCTACCAATTTCTTTAAGATTACAATCAATTCAAGCCACTTAGTTTCTGCAGCAGACAGTGTAAAACAAAGTGTTGGGACCCCAAGCTGTCTGATTATAGCCATAACATGGAATTTTTCAGTTTTCCCATATGCCGGAGAGCTTCGAACACCACTCCATCATTTCTTATTTTGCTGGGAACGACGTCGTCTTGAAGAACTTAATTTGCTTTTAAAGCATTACTGTTAGGCTTACTTTTATGTATCATCGTGAATAAACCTCCGACCAAACTCAGTAAAAGTCTTTTTTTATCCATGTAAAACAAGCAGTCAGGTCGTACTGCACGTCGATCGGTATTTTGTATTAACGATTTCGTTAGACAGGTATAGTATAACGTATTATCCTTATGCGTTGGTCTCAATATTTGGCCTCCAAATATTTGAGGAAATGCCAAAAAATCCGTGTCTTCGTCCATCAATAATGATAAAGTAGTGGAGTTTTCACCCAGTGCTATTCTCAAGCCACCTTCATCACTGTATCCGGTATCTCATCCACCGAAAACAAAGACTCACTAACTCCAATTGGTGTCATCTTCACATATACCACTTTCATCCTCATCATCATTTTCAGAATTATTTTTTTGTAAAGGCTCATAATTGCTGAGCCAGCTGTCATCAATAGTCACATCATGTTTTTGATATGCAGGTTGTGATTGAAGATAGTGCATCGCTTCCCATACAAATCTCGTATTAACGTTTCCCTCCATATAATTATGAACATCCGTCATTCTTCTTGCTAATCGTACAGGAATGATATGTGTATCACTTAATGCACGTGGTAAGGAGGTTACAGATGTATCAATTGATACAGGAATATTATTGATGGCTCGTTTGCTTTATACTGACCCCTGACACCAGCAACAGTCCAAATAGACATGAAAACGTGTCTTGCTGCCACAAGCCTCTCTTCAATTCAGTTTAATTGTGTCAAAGCACGAGGTAATTCTTTTAATTCGAATCCATCTACACCACATAATCCTGGTCGTTTTAATTTTCTAACGTCAAGGAAACATGTATTACAAAATATTCCCTCTAATTCCAGTTCATCCATTTCAGATTCTTGAATTGATGCTGCTGCTGAACCAAACACATCCTTAATAAAATCGAATGAAGCCCCCTTATCAAAAATTACACCCGCTTTTAACTTTCTTAACTGATACGGAAAGTACGTTCCATTACAACAAAGACAGACACCTGTTGGGCCTTCTTTTATTAATTTTTGATAATTTGATCTCATTTCATTAAAGTTCCTCTGCGATGGAGTTCTCGAGTAAATAGATATGAACATTACGTAATTTGAAATTGTTAAGTACCTGGTAGCCATCCTCATTGTTCTCTATATTCTCTTCTTCTTCTTCTTCTTTCTCTTCTTCTTCTTCTTCTTTCTCTTCTTCTTCTCCTTTCTCTTCTTCTTCTTCTTCTTTCTCTTCTTCTTCTCCTTGATCGTTTTGATCTACTGGCTGGGTAGAACTTCCTTCGCCATTGTCATTGTTCTACATTTTTTATGTTTATGGTTACATGAAAGCTTCGATTGAGAGATTCAGTATATACCTGGTAGCATGTTCGCTTTCTTCCATTCTCTTCAGTTCTATAAGAAGCTCTTTCCCGTTGTTTTGCCTTTTAAGCTCTACGATGTTTCCGTTTTTCATCTGTTAACAACGGCCGCTTTTTTTTCCCCCTTGCGTCTCAATTCTCTCTCTTCTCTTTCAAGATCGGTCAATCGTGGTCTGCCCATTGAAGTTTTTGTGAAGAGAAGAAAACCAAAAAATTTGTGGGTTGTTTAATGTTTAATTAATTGAAACTCCAAAAAGATTGTAGACACGAAAATTTAAAATTAATAAAGGAGGTTTACAGTGCTATCCCCCCTCCAGACGGTACAATAGTTTATTACGGCTTTTATACAAAATCAAAGTGTAAAACACACATACACACAAAAAACTAAAGACGACTAAGGCCCAAAGATTACATGTCATGTATAAAAAGTCAGAATCTAACTTCATAATATTATCAAAACACTCTTAAAAACGTAGTTATATGATGTTTGTGCGTCAATACTATTTATTAGAAATGAATAAAAGGAGAATAAATGACATAGGGAGTTCATGCTTGTGTACAAAAAAGACAAGAGAGCCAAGTGATCACGTTTTTTAATTATAAACCAGTAGTTTGAAATAATCCAATGGAAGGCCAGTTCTTTTGATCTGTGATGAAACAATCTGTTCAAATTGCAGAGTGTCCATTGTATTTTATGAAGGTTTACATCTCTGGATATTTGACACTTCACCTTCAATTTCGGTAATTGGGGCACATTCTCCTGTCCAGATTTTAAATTGAGCAATACCTTACGAGATCAAGATTTTGATGCCTTCAACACAAGACCAACCCTTACGCTCAGCTTGCAAAAGCAACTTTGTACAACAAGACTTGTAAGCCATGTCACAAATAATACCCTTGATACCTCCGTGCAAAAGTTCAGGTAACTCAATACCAAAACCAATTGCCTTGGCATTATAGGACAACTCGTCAAGATACTTCATAATAGCTAACCTGTGAGGAACAGTGACCAAAAGTGAGATCCTTGAGAATATCATCCTCAGCATATTCAACCATATGGTACTCCAAAAAATTTTATTGATGGGGAGGACCCAAAACCTTGAAACCAGTGTTATGGGGAGTAGGCGACATGGAATGTTGGATGGGTGTACGAATTAACCAGAATTTTTGGGCAGGTTAAAGGCCAATGAGATAACGAGCCTTATTGATTTCAGCTAAAGAAAGTTGACCAGGAGCAGCCTTGTGGGAGTGCAAGATGAGTAATAGGAGTTAAAAGTTTGTTGATCACACGAGGTAACTGTCGGGTAGCACCCATGTTGATAGCAATAACATCTTTACCACCCTTTTTGTAAGCGCGGAATGTTTCAAGTACCATGTTGTCTTGGAAACTTTAAGTATTGCCAACAAGTTTAATGGTATCACCGTATTTTTTACAAGTGTCATACTTGAGTTGATTAGTCTTACCATCCCAAGTTGTAACGTTCTGAGCGTCATGCCAAGGGGATATAATGAGACTTTCACCATTGAAGGACACAGGCCTTTTAATACCGGTAGGAACCCAGCAAGTTTGGACGTCAACATATTCAAAACCCCAATGATGACTCCAAGTGAGTAATTCAAACCAACCATCTTTATCATTATCGGAGGAAGTACCTGCTTGACCCTTCAATCTCATAGTGTAAATAACAGGAATCGGCACCATTCTACGTAAAAGAGAGAAACGTTCACCAACATATTTAATATAGGTTATTTCGCTCTTTAAATCAGGCTTTTGTATAAGATCCACGCGCAGTTCAACTGCATCAGCACCCTCATGTATCTCTTTAAGGTTTTCGAGAACAGAGTTAAAGTCCTTGGAAGCCAATGATTCAAAAGTAATGGGTACTCCGACAAGACCGACAGTAGTATTTACTTGGTTAATATCACGACCGCTGATGAATAAAAGGAATCTCTGGAGATCCTTTTCAATGGCTAACCACCCGGCCCTTGACAGGCTTACCGTGAATATAATTACCATCAGGTAATTCAGATGCTTGAACACCTAAACTTGATGAGTTCATGCACCATAGCAGCAATACGATCACATTCCTTTACAGATTGGTTAGCAATACCAATGATACGTGTGATGTTTCCACCCTTGGGATCAGCAGAAGATGTAACAGCAGACAGTGGCAGTCATAAATGCATTTGTCATGGTCTCCATATCAATGGTGGGAAAAGGACGAAGTTGACCAATGGGGGACTGGTGACGGTAATAGCAGTTTCGGTTTGAACAACAGTACAACTTACAAGTATAAGGACGTTGATGACAAACGTGGTATCGCCTTAAAGAGTTAGAACCAATACTGGTGACGGTATATGTGGTACCCGTGATAGCAATTATGGCTAAAGGATAAGTAGCGGAACTTGCATCTGATTCAACAACATAATGATCGGGGTTCTTGCAGGTGGTTTGTTTAATCTTGTAAGCATTTTCGGGAAGACGCTCCACAACAGCACCGAAGATTCTATCATAGCAATTGTCATAACGATGTTAGGCCGTGAAATCACTTGAACGCCAACCAAAATGAGTTCGACTTCTTTAGTGGCATACGGAAGACATAATAACATGGAAGAAGCGCAACGAGAAGAGATAAAGGCAGACAAGTCGATACGACCACCCTTAAAACCATCCTTGGGGGTTACAACAATGGGCTACAAGCCTTCCTTTTGAAGAGAAACAATCCCGGCATCATCTACCTTTAATTCAGCCAAAAGAGGAGCAATAGGTCTCATCTTCATACGAGCATTACCTGTTAAGACAGCGGTAGGGGTTTTATCACCTTCGGCAGTAGGTATCATGGTCAGGACCGAAGTTAAGAAACGAGAGGCAATAACGGTGACACCGACATAAAGCTTGTTATTGGGTACACTAAGTCTACCTCCACCACCGTGAACGACCAAAGTTTCACCATTATCTTCCCACTCAAGCTCTTAAAAGCAGCCAACATAAATTGTGTACCATCTGAATGCAACAAGTTCTTGGGACGATTACGAGGGTGGATACAATGAGTCTGCTTAATGTGGCAAGACATTTGAGCATAGATCCCCAAATATAAAATCTTCTAATAATAATAAGACGCACAAAATTGTTTTAACTATATTACATAAAGGTGTTAGTTAAAATTTTGATGTTTGCTTCAGAAACTACTATTTCGAGATTTTACCAATATTTTTTTTTAAATATAAGCCCGTTTCTTAATTGTCATCCCAATCGACCCATTCTTCATACGTGTGAGTCACTTTTTTCTTCCTACTAAGAGCTCTTTCAAATGATAGACGTCGATCATTGTTCTCGTTTATACACGTCCTAATCGTATCGACAGTCTGCTCGATTTCAGCCTTGTAGTACAATAATGAGCGTAACAAGTCATCTGCTCGATTGCTGTCGGATCGGCTCAACGGAATTCTTAGTCTGTCATTGATTCGGAAAACAACCATAGACTTAGGTTTAATCATTGTGGAGCGCAAGCAGTCTCCTTTTAATCCACAGAACTGAAGAGAATAAACCTTGATATCTACTGGATTTATGAAACTGAAATGGCCAATGATATTTTTGAAGATGGTCTTTGCCTCCAGAATGAGTTTGAAATGATCATCCTTCACTTTAGTCACAGTGGCAGCTTTACCAACTTCAACGTTGGATACATCAATGAATAAACTTTTATAGTAAAAGCCAATACGATAATCGAGCTTATAATTATCCATTTTCGTTTCCCCGCTAAAAAATTAAAAAATGTTATTCTTCAGTTCAGCATAAAAATCTAAATTTATTTACCTTCTGATTTTTATGTCCATTCGGTCGGAGAAGAGTAACTCCAAAAGTCGGGCATATATCTTATGGTCAAAGTCCTTTTCACTTAGGAGCCTTTGTTCTTCAATGTCAAAAATGTGACTATTAATTTGATAAGCTTCGATCCTAATAATGATAGGTGAAATTGTTATACTTTTAGATACTTTTTATGATTAAGGTAGCATAAATTTGCACACTTACAAATGGGACAGTATTTTAAAAAAAAACAAGTCCTCGGATGATGCGTTTAGCTGATAGTCCAGAGTTTTACGATATTGAATATTGATATGGTCCGACTAAAAAAAATTAGTATGCGCTACCCTAGTTTGCACTATCATACTTTGATTATCTTACATTTTTAAAAGTTTTCAAAATTGCCTTCTTAAAGTCGTCTTTTAATTCATACGAAGCTCTTAGTACCTCTACACCTTGACTGTCATTCCAAACAATGACATGCGATTGTCCTGATGGGCCCGTGTTACTGAAGTCTACTATTCCTTCTTTATCAAGTCTATAGATATGGTTATGGTAAGTATTTATACTCAAGAAGAATATCAAATGCAAACATACGAATCTGCCAACTTTTTGTCCTTTGTGCTCTTAACATTGGTAAAAAAAAAAAAAGTAAACTAGTTAGTACTGTCATGCCGAAATAAAGTCGAGAAATATCAATAAAAACCTTTTTGGGCTGATGAGCCTTGGCCGCACTCGTCTCCCCTTTTCGTTTCAAGATGGATACTTCATTGGATTGTCGCTGTGTGGTTATCCAGTAGTCATCCATCATAGAAGTATCCAGACACTAATCAAAATAATCCAATAACGCGTTAAATACTGCCAAATTATTCATTTATAAATAAAACTACCTGGAAGTTGTCGTTTAAAAACTCTTCGGCAATAAAATGTTGTAGTTCCTCATCAACCACTTGACTTAATTTCACGATAGATTCCTTGAACTTCTGTTCACCATTTTCCCTATTCTTAAAACCAAACTCCATGTAAAAGGCTATGATATTTATGTACGGAAGGTTTTCTTTCAAGTATTTTTGTTGTGTTCTATTGTCAAATGGTAATTAGTTCGTGTTTCTAATTTTCTCAATGGCTTGTGTTCTTACGTTAAAATCATTTCTTAGTTAGCTTGAACGAATTTCTTGTGAATGACGATAAAAAGGTAGAAATTAAGTATGGGATATTCTTAATAGATATAGAAGCTGTATTAGGGTCCTTGTCTTTGGTGAGAAATATACAAGAAAGAAAGATTTTTTTTTGGCGTTCGAACAACTTTTATACCTTAAAATGATGACGAAGTTTTTTTCTCCTTAAGTTTTCGAAGTCCGTAAATAATGCATGAAGAGCATCAAACTCGTTTTATAATACAATATATACGTAAATGCACCGAATTTGGTAAGCTGAAACGAATTTTATATTTTGAAACAGGAAATAGTGTAACAGATTTTTTAAATAAACAATTATGGCCTTATAATCGTCTGTGTTGCGCTTCTGGCTGGACGATAAAATAAGAGCGAATCAAGACAAATCTATAGTATTATCTATTATTATCATTGTTCCTAGTCTTCAAGCTCGAAATGCTGTACACCATGTGGAGAATAAATTGTACTACTCGACTTTTTTTTATAAATTAGATAGGATTTGGTGTTTCAGGTTTTCGCCAAGGAGGCGAGATAAATCCAGGATTAAACCTCGTAACAAAGTACCAGAATCAATCCCGATATAGTGAAAATGTGACCAAAGTGTAACTAAACATGAATACAATATTTGTTTATTTATACACCCGGTGTATTTTTTTTTTGCAAATTTATTTATGTTAGATAGAAAGAAATTGTGCGACCTCTCTGATCGAATTCATCCAATCCTCACTGTTGTAAATAGGGTTTTGCGAAATGGAATAAAATGATCAAAAGAAAAAACAGCGAGTCAAAACTAAGATCTATTTTATTCCAAAAAATTAAAAGAAGAAAACTAAGGAGCATCCGCCATGCCTACTACGATTGTTTATCTTATTTTTTGTTTACCAATCTTATGAATATTATCTAATGTGATTATTTATGGAAAAGTTTATTTTATTAATTGGAGGTGGATTCTAGAATCTCTGTCTGGTTCTAGCAATTACTACACTCAGTTTCGTAAAAAGCAAAGGACTTTATGAATGATAGTAGGTTTAGAAACCACGATCCCTTCTAAGCTATCGATTTAAAAACAAAAATACCTGTTGAATAACTAGCTGGAACAATGATCAAGCATTTGGGTATTGTAAGATTTTCGCATATAATGTAAGGCGACAAAAAGCATTGCACCCAACGTGCCAGATCCTACGACACGGCTTCATACACCATGGCATACTCTATTAAAAAAGTGGCTGTCCCTGGGATTAGTCTTTGGGGGGCAAACCTTAGTTTGTACAGATAGTAGGTTTTCATCTTGTGAAGGCCTCTTTTGACTCTTTTCTCTCTCACATCGAACACTTTCTTATTCCACAAGGTATGCCCATGCTATGCAAATATTTTGTCCGTTTCAATAATTTTTCTGCAAGAAACACAACTTTCAGTTTAAGTGGAACTAAATTAATTCACTAGTGTGACCCTTTTCTTCCTTTTCATAAAAAAATGTCAAACTGGGCTCTACTCCCTACCGAAATTTTAGCTGAAGTCATTGATTATGCTCTAAGCGAAAGCAAAACTAAAAAGGCTTTTCAAAAACATTGCATGCTCATTTGTAAAGACTGGTCCATTGTTAGCCGAACAGCACTCTACAATCATGTAACTTTACACAAAGAAGCACAGTTCGAACCATTTCTTGCAAGCTTAACCGGATCCATAAATGGCCAATTAGTCAAAGAGCTCGAACTCCATTACAATGAGGAAAACCTGGAGTCCGCTTTAGGCCGATTATTAAAGTCATGCCCAAACCTGTCGTTGCTGCTAGTTCAAAAAGCAATGAAGAGCTCATTCTTTGAAAAATTACTATTAGAAATTGCGGCAGGGAATGGAACCAAGTTAAGAAGTATCCCGTTTTACGATCCTAGAGACCTGGACACTATTGACGTGTATGGAAATGCAACATACGCGTTAAAAGACAGACTGGAACATCTTCGTATTTGGGATTATAAATTAAACAAGACAGCATTTTATCAGAACGAGACACTGAACCGTTTAGGAATGTATAGAAATCTCCAATCAATTATCTTTCAACTTCAGGATCATAGCAACATCTTTAAGGTTTTCGAAATGATTCAATATTGTCCTACTTTGACTTCTGTAAAAATTGTAGCGATAACTGCCGATTTCAAAACAGGAAAGGATGTCGATATTGCAGAACCTTTCAATTTACAGCCTCTCGTAAATGTTCAGGAACTAGAAATAAGTGAAACAATAACAATCACTGCCAGGATTATCCAGTACATTCTGCTTTTATTCCCCAACCTAACAACATTTCTTTATGGTCAAAGTTACACGTCTTGGCGGTCTTTACAACAAAACTCTGCAAGCGTGTTAAGTTCATTTAAGGCACAAGGGTTGGGGATTCCTACCGAACTTTGGGTCCAATTTTTCAAGTTCATGCATAAAATAGATATTTGTCAAGTGTCTGTCCTTTTTATCAAGGATTATGTCGAGCTCTTCTCAAAAGTACCGTACGTGTGTGAAAATTTGGATATTATATATGCAGATTTTTATGGTGAAGATGTGGAACTTGAACCTTATTTCAACATTTTCTATAACGATAATTCAGACATGCATATTCGCAACATGTATCAAGAAGGTGAACTTGCTCGTCGAATTGTGTTTAAAAACGTCGGCAGAGAATACTATGCCGCTTGGCCGCATGATGGTGTTCTTCAAACACTTGGACATAATATAAAGGCATTGAATGTGCGAGTTGGTACCCCTGCCGAAATTGGAGTTCGAGGAACCGGCGTAGAAAGCATGGTTGAAGAAAACCTGTTCAATCTTATTTGTGACAATTGCCAAACTTTAGACACATTGTGGGTATCCCGTGGGACATTCAATAATCCGATCCAAGACTCTACGAGATCGCTCCAACACCTAGAACTAATCCAGTTCGATTATTGCAACTTTGATCAGTACTTCCTCAGTAGCCTGTCCACTCACTTACCTCCTAAACTAAAATTTGTGATTTTCTTGAGATGTACTGTAATTGCTCCCATGAATTCTGCTGAATTTTTTACAACGATAGACATGCCAAACACTTTATTCGACTACTTATTATGGAAGTCACCCGATGCTGATGAACCCGTCGAAGAAACAGTCTACCTCAAGATAACTAAACGCGAAGCTACATCCTACTATTACAAAATATCTATCGACAATCAGCTGGCCATGTCTTCATTCGAAGATTTTGAAGCTTCCAAAAACAATCCGTCGGTAGAAACCGTGGACATACGTTGCTTGGATATCGAAAAACTTATCTTCAAACGATCCGAAGTTCATTTTATTTTATTTCCCAAAAAAGAACCTGTCATTGGTGACGAATATGAATTTATGGCCTTGAGGGAGTTTCATAATTTTTACGATAATTATTAGATAAAATTAAAAGTATTGAAATGTTATGGCTCAAATACACTTATGTTATTTTCTGTTCATTGTAAAGGATGCAAATAGACACGGATCTAATATGTATACATTCGGCAGCCGCCTTATTTGATACCGTGCATGGATTTTTTTTTTTAGTTATTGCCTTATTGATTGAGACAATATCTGTCTAAACAGATTAGACAATACAAATATATGGGATTCCTTCGTTTTCTACTTGGTATATCTTATCAGACATCACAATAGCCATACCAAGACATGATAAAATGCAAACCTCTGTTAGCTTGAAAGATATAATTGGTTCCACCCCCCACCTTCCAGTAAGTAATTCTACTTAGTAGTTATTATCGTAACGAAAAACTTATTTAAGCCGCATCTATATAAGAGTCCTTGGATGTTCCTTTTATGCGTGGTATAGTACAGTTTTCAAAGAACATGTGGCTCTTTGTGACGAATTGCTACATACGACTTATCAAATAGACCTTTATCTAATTCCAGTCAATGAATCAAACTGTAGTTAACATGATCACCATGATGAATGATGACGAAGTCGTTGATATGTCTATTTAATCAAAAGATTTAAAAATACATGAACCATACAACGGCTATATTTTATTCAATTGGGTCGGGACATGTCCAATTACGGTCACACTTCAGCCAAAGTTGTCATGCTCCCAGATTTGTAATTCCCCTTTCCCCTTTTGTTACCACTTGTATTTTTTTTTATATATATTTATCGAGAAAAACTAAAAGAACATGACTTCTAATCCTGGTGTAAAACAATATAAAGCTTTAGGTGATGAAGTTTGGAAGTCTAAAGTCGACAAGATTGTAAGTATCATCTCTCGAAGTGATGAGCGCGTCATGACTAACGATAGAACAGAATGCCGAACTTTTTACCTTGACTTATGGTTCGATGGTGGTCCAATTAGTAAAGGATTTTGAGGATTATGGAGAAGTCAACAAGCAACTCGAGAAAATGTATGCATTGTTTCCATGGATGAAAGCGAGATGACTAAATGTTTTTTATTTTTTGGGGATTTTAAATATATAGGGGTTACAATATTGGACAACGTATGATTGAAGATTTTTTAGCCAGATCAGCTATCGGTCGTTGTTCAGAGTTCAGAGATACAGCAGAAGCAGTTTCAAAGGTAAAGTAGGTAGAGGAGAGTAAAAAAAAAAAAAAAGGGTGAGGATGGGCTTTTTTTTTTTGATTCTAAAGAAAATGTCAGGTCGGTTTCAAAATGTTCCTCAATATTACACCCAACATTGCCAACTGGTCTAGTGATAACAAGGAGTTTTCACTGATTTTTGATGAGAATCCTTTGACTGATTTTGTTGAATTGCCTGATGAAGCATTAGAGGGAGGTCTATGGTATTCTAACGTTTATTGCGGCGTTTTACGTGGTGCACTTGAAATGGTTCAAATGCAGGTGGAAGCACATTTTATCAGTGATACACTTCGTGGTGATGAAGTTACTGAAATGCGCATAAAGCTGGTGCGTTATTTGGAAGAAGAGGTACCGGTCGGAGAAGATTAAATATCCCCCCCCCCTTCAACATATATAAACACACTCACAACAACCAAGGATACGCATACGCACATAACACTACTGTATAAACTGAATACACATCTTTTTATTCTTTTGTAATTCTTGATTAATAATATACATGGGTATGGGCTTGTTCTATTGAGTTTTGTTTCCACGGAAACGCATGCGGGGATCCATCTAAAGGCCAATGTTAAAAAGACATGCTCGATCCTTTGAGTTCGCACTGTCACTTACCATGCCACGACGACAATCGCCGAAACTCTTCTTGATACTCACACATTCTGAAGGGACGTCTGCTTTATGCTCTTCTTTAAAACACTCTCTGACTGAATTACGTTTAATTAATACACAGTCGGATTTGAGCATGCACTCAATGAGTTCTTCTCTGATTTCTTTGCAAGAGGATGGCATGTTTCTTTTAATAAGGGAAATAAGTAAAAAGAGAAACTCTTACACTGATTTTTTTTCAAGATACACAAAAATGTAAAGCAGCCGGGGATTTGGACGGTTTCCCCCGGGTTGTGCGTTACCCTATTGGAGGCCTTTTTTTTTTTTTTATTTATTTATTTTTTCTAGATAAAATTTTACATTCTAAAGACACCAAAGTCTGTCTTTTCGATAGGAGCATTCAAAGAAGCACTGAGAGCTAAACCAAGCACAGTACGTGTATCACGAGGATTGATGACACCATCATCCCATAATCTGGCACTAGAGAAGTAAGGGTGACCTTCAGCCTCGTACTTTTCACGAATAGGTGCCATAAACTTTTCTTGTTCTTCTTCAGACCAACTTTCACCGCGCTTGGCTTTGCTCTCTCTTGTAATTTGAGCCAAGACATTAGCACTTTGCTCACCACCCATCACAGAGATACGAGCATTCTAAGTATCATTATATAAAACAAGTGTGTGAGTTTCATCTTTCAAGAAGGGGATTGTATTCAACTTACGGGCCACATCCATAAGAATCTGGGAGAATAAGCACGTCCACACATGCCGTAATTTCCTGCACCAAAACTACCACCGGTAATGATGGTAAACTTGGGCACCTTTGCACAGGATACAGCATTGACAAGCTTAGCACCATTCTTGGCGATACCACCAGCCTCCGCAGATGAACCCACCATGAAACCAGTGATATTTTGCAAGAAAACAAGAGGGATACCTCGCTTAGAACATAATTGAATGAAATGTGCTCCCTTCAAAGCAGACTCTGAAAAGAGAATACCGTTATTTGCAACAATACCTACGGGATTACCGTGGATGTGTGCAAAACCTAATGATTTTTTTTTATGTTCAGGTGAGTGTTTTCTTAGGATGAACGATGGTGACAACTTTACCTGTGATAAGACTGGTACCATAGTTTTCCTTGAATTCAGCAAATTTACTTCCATCAACAATACGAGAAATGATGTTTTTACTGTCAAAGGGCTTTCTCAAGTTATCACCAACAATACCACCAATTTCTTCAGCGGAATATAAAGGCTCTTCTGGCACACGAGTGTCTAACTGAGGTCGCTTCACCTTGTTCAAAGTACCCACAACTCGACGAGCTAATACAAGCGCATGTTCATCATCGAGTGCATAATGATCTGTTACACCTGAGGTTCTACAATGGAGATCAGCACCGCCTAGATCTTCGGGACTGATCACTTCACCAATAGCAGCCTTGACAAGAGGAGGACCGGCCAAGAAAATGGTACCTTGGTTCTTAACAATGATACTTTCATCTGCCATGGCAGGTACATAGGCACCACCAGCAGTACATGAACCCATGACAGCAGCAATTTGGGGGATGCCCTGAGCAGACATATTAGCTTGGTTATAGAAGATACGACCGAAATGTTCACGATCAGGGAAGACATCGGCTTGTCTAGGGAGATTGGCTCCGCCAGAATCAACTGCTCATGTTAATTAATACATGTGTAGGCTATGATACTGTCTATTCTGTGGGCTTACCAAGGTAAATACAAGGAAGGTTGTTTTCTTTAGCAATTTCTTGGGCACGAAGATGCTTCTTGACTATATGTTTTTGATAAGTAAAAGAATAAAAGCCATATATTACAAAGTAATTTACCTGTAATTGGGTAATAAGAACCACCCTATATATCATATGTGAATACAAAAATTAAAATGTAACGTCTATATTTTTCCCATTTACCTTGACAGTGGGATCGTTGGCTACAACCATACACTCAACACTATTTAAGCTCAGTCAAGATTCCCACGATATTTTTTGTTGTTGTGAGAAATCTTTTCTTACCCGTTCACGCGTCCAATACCAGTAATAATACTTCCAGCAGGAACATCATCATCATATAACTTGTGGCCTGCTAATGCCGAGAGTTCAAGAAAAGGAGAGCTGATCAAACCCAGCAAAATGAGTCCTTGGGGGCATAAACACACACACACACACACACACAAAAAAAAAAAAAAGAAACTTACTTTGGATCTAACAAACGGTTGATTCTGTCTCACAAATTAGTGGCTGATTCTTTGTACTTTGAGTCATTCTATTACCTGTCTCTGGGGAGCATCTTCTTTCGGGATAAATGTCTTTTACGAGCTGCCTCTCCACCACCTTGAATATTAAATCAGTATCATGATCCCCCCTATATTTTGTCTTTCCTTTTTTTTTACCCAGCTTAATTTTCTCAGTTGTCAAGTTCAAATCGTCCACTAATTTTTGCATTTTTTCGGCATTTTCCTATTGTAAAAACTATCAATGTCTGTATACCATTCTTTTCGCCCTCTGCTTGATTCTTACCTTGAAAGAAGCACTGGCTGTTTCCACATTGTTGGGTAAAACAGACGCATTATCTTCGTGGAGAGAATGATACTGGGATCGAAGTACAGTATTCAAAGCAAGTCTGGAAAAACGGCTTGTGTGGCGAATCAATCTCTGTGATAACATCCTTGTTATATGTTTATATAGAAAAAAATAAAGGTAAAAGAAAAAAGAAATTTTGAGGAACAGCGCTTTTAATACAAATGGATTTTCCCACGGCATTTTGGACCTTTTCCAGCGTCATGTGATACAAGATGTGGCCTACAGAGACCCCTTAACGCTTGTTTATTCTTTGTGGGATCCCAATTTCAGTAAGATGAAAATTTCCCCATTTCACACAACCACTTTTTAAATGGCGATATTTGATACACAGAGGCGTATTTTATCAACTTCCGAAGAATAAGAGCTCGAGTTATCATGGATGGTCGGGAAGAGTACCATAAGATATAAGTTACTTTTTTTTTTTTGGGAACTAGCGGCTGCTACCCAAAAAAAATCCTCGTGTTTGACTGGTCAGATCGTTTGATGTTGTAATTCGTTATAATTCCTTCATTGAGAAGGCTTTAGATCCGTATTAGGTGTGAACCAGCATTGTTTCGTTTATTCATCAGACACAAATCTCCGTCTCCCAAGGATATCTCTGGAAAAAAATAACAAGCCTTAGTCGTCATCTATCAGTCTCGTCACACGATGAGGAACGGGGAGAGTCACGGGCAGCGGGGCTTCTTGGGTTATCTTGCCGTGCAGGAAAAGGGCACTTTCTATTTTTTTTTTATTTTTTTTACCTGTTCTTACAAACAATTCAGAGACTGGATGGGAAACAACATATCCAACTTTACAGATATTGCAGCTATTGGAAGCTATGTAAGCGAATTAGGCGATGTCTATTACGAAAAAAGGCAATTATACACTTTTTGATTTCCTGAATGCATCTTTTTAACACTTGTTTATGCAAAATAAATAAAATAAATAAATAAAATAGTATTGGTACCGCACGATTTATGAAGACATTGCGTGGAAGACATAAAGATGGCTATGTTGTTATTAAACTATTTATCAAACCGGAATCCGGCATGTCGTTATTAAAACAAGTCAAAAAGTTTAATGGTAAATTCACAATGTTCCCATCGATTCATTGAAAGCCCATGAAATCTAAGAAAAAATTACCTCTAATTTATAATGTAGAGGAACGTGAAGCTTTAATTAATGTACCCAACGCATTTTATTTCCAAAGAATATTGAATACCGATCGAGCAGCGTTACTTGTCCGCCAATACTTATACAGCAGTTTATACGATCGCATTAGGTGACTATTTCCCCCAACACACACACAAAAGGAAACTTTATCTTAACCCGTTCTTGTTGCAGTACTCGACCTTTTTTAACAGTGATTGAAAAGAAATGGATTGCCTATCAGTTATTAAAAGGCGTGGCGGATTCGCATGCTAGAAACGTATATCATGGCGATATCAAGACCGAAAATGTCTTGGTGACATCCTGGAATTGGGTCTTTTTAGTCGATTATGCATTTTATAAACCCACTTATTTACCAGAGGACAATCCCGCTGATTTCTCCTTCTTCTTTGATACCTCGTATCGAAGAACATGTTACATTGCACCCGAACGATTCTATAAGTCTGGCACAGAGATTGATCAGAGAATGGTACATTTCCCTATTTTTTTACTTTGGCTGATTTGCAATACACTCATTTTGTTTTTCCTTTTTATTAGAAAAAAATGGCCGTCAACGATTATAAAAGCGAATTAACGCCTGCCATGGATATCTTTTCAGTTGGATGTGTTATTGCTGAGTTGTTCTTGGAAGGTACGCCCTTATTTACTTTATCTCAACTATTCAAGTATAGAAGTGGAGAATACAATCCAGACACCAGCTTGGAGAAAATTGAGGATAAAAACATTCGGGTAAATCAAGGATACACAGGGGAAATCATCTACGGTGACACATTGGTTTTTTATATATATATATTAACAGCATTTTATAAAAGGATATGGTGAAACACATGATCCAAATTGATCCAACATCTCGAGTGACCGCAGACGAATATTTAGCAGAATGGCACGGAAAATCCTTTCCTCACTACTTTTACTCGTTCTTGTACCAACATATGAGCACCATGATTGATAAAATTGATCATCAACATCCACAGGCTGAATCTACCATCATGTCAGCCTTATCATCAGCTTATCCAAGTGTCAACAGCAAAAATTCAACCAATGCAGATGAAAAGATTGATCGTGTTTTTTACGATTTTGAAAAAATCATGTATTATATCTCTTTCCCTTGCGATGATCTTTCCAACGATGGTGAAAAACGTAGAGCTCGAACAGGTAAGAATCCTTCATTATAAAATATGTGTATAGGGTAGTGAAAGTAAAAAAAAAAAGAAAACTGATAATATAATCTTTTCTAAGAATTGTCAAATACAACTACAGCTTCATCGGTAAAGCGACCAAAAAGATATACATATGTATAAATTGATTTTAACAACTTGAATAGATATTACTTCCACCCACATCCAATATACCTAATTTCTCTTCTAGTACTGAGAATCCTCCCATATCTTATAAGCCTGGCGGTATGTAGACACAATTGTTAATAGAATACACAGGTGTACTAAAAAAAAACTTTATTGTATGTAGAGGAGGGTTCTTTAATCCTTTTGTCATTTATCTGCTCAATGATAAGAAATACACTGTATCCCAGTTCCAAACTAAAAGCGTTAGATATATTACTCGCTTTAGCTGAACGTCTTCCCGATGATGTCAAACTGGATCGCCTAGTACCTTATCTGATTGTACTCTTAACAGACGAAGCCTCTCTTGTTCGAGCCAACGCGATCAAGACACTGACACAAGTGGTAAAATCAAATACTACCATCTAACCTTGGGGGGTTTTTTTTCTCTTTCTTTACGCAAACTCATCTCTTCAATTTTATATTTATAGTTGTGTATGGTAGAATCAATTTCGCCTATTAACGCCCGTATTTTCCCTGAATACATTATACCCAGCATTCGTCCATTTTCAACTGACCCCGATGTTCTTGTACGATCCACGTATGCCAGTTGTATTGCCTTGTTAGCCGAAACCGCGCTTCGATTTTTAGAAATGACGCAATTATTAAAAACAGATACGGTATATCCTGTAGCAGACACAGACACGGAAGATCTCGATTTTGAGGTAAGTTTTATTTAAAGGTCATTCACCCTTAAACATATAAATGACTTACCTATTTTTTTTTTGGGGGTGGTGGCACTAGTCTGCTTATGATTCTTCGCTTCAAGATCTTCATGCTGTGATTCAGGAACAGGCCACTATCTTATTGATCGATAGTGAAAGTTCTGTTAAGAGAGCTTTGCTCACGAACATTACTTGTCTTTGCGTTTTCTTTGGAAGACAAAAGGCCAATGACGTTTTACTTAGTCATATGATCACCTATCTCAATGATAAAGATTGGATGCTCCGGAGTGCCTTTTTCGAAAGTATCAAGGGAGTGGGTACCTTTGTAGGTGCAAGAAGTCTTGAGGAATACATTCTACCCCTCATGATACAAGCATTGACAGGTATATATATATAAATAGAAAATCATAGATAGATAGATAGACACTTAGACTTTTATATATATATAGATGCCGAGGAATTCGTGGTGGAAAAAGTATTGAATTCACTCACCAGTTTAGCAGACCTTGGATTATTTCAAAAGATGAAACTATGGGAACTCGTCGGTATTGTTTGGCCGCTTCTTTGTCACCCCAATGAATGGATTCGAAATGGTGCTGTGGGCTTTATTTCTTCTACTGCCAAACATCTACCCAAGACAGATGTGTGGTGTATCGTCTATCCTTTAATCCGCCCTTTTCTCAGGTCGGATATTGCAGATATCAATGAAGAGTCATTGCTCCAAAACATGGAAACACCCGTAAGTGTTCTGTTTATAGCCATTTTTGTTTTTTTCGTTTTTTTTGTAACACATAGAATGTCATTTTTTTTTTATAGATTCCTCGTCAAGTATACGAGCAGTCCATTATTTGGGCTACAAAAGCTACTCCTCGATCCAACTTTTGGAAGACACAAATAACAAAACCTACAAAGCAGGCCGCTTCCACATCCAAGTCCCCGCGTGCTTCTTCCATCCATCCTTCTGAGCGAAAAGGTAATAAAGCACAAAACAAGACAATTTTTTTTTAAAAAAAAAAAATTAATGATAGGGGACGCGATTTATAGATTCTTTATTCAGTAACTTTTTGGATAATGAAATGCACGATAATTCTAAAGAGTAAGTACCCAACCATAGGATATAGAATTCTCAGATAAAGTGAGTGTTTCTTTTAACCATTCATGACAGAGACGAACTTCATTTGGAACGTTTAAGAGCATTTGGTATGTCTGTAGAAGATGAAGAGAAGTTACGATATATGCGGGAGTATATTTTTAAAGTGTCTAAAACAAAGATAAGGTAAAAATTACTTGGTTTTGATACATGACGGGTGTATCTATGGATACGTTGGAATTAATACTTTTTTTTTATTAAAAATATAGTCGACCCAAAACTGCAGATGATTTCAATATGGAGGTAAGCTTGAAAAGAGAAAAGAAAGCATGATTTTGCAAACAAAAAAAAAAAAAAAAAAAATGAAAATCTAACCCCCCCTAAAAAAAAAAATAGCGTGGAGAAATCCTTCTCAAAAACCTCAATGTCACTCCCATGACAGTCTTCTTACCAGATCTATCACAAAAACTACGCTCCATGAAATCAAAGACAGCAAGCGTAACAAAACCAGTAGAAACTTTGTAAATGATAGATTCAAATCAAATAAAAAGAAGACAGTTATCTTACTTTCTCTTTTCTAGGACCACCAACAAGACACAAACATCCGTGATACCAAGATCCATTGTCCAGTCTCGTTCTCGAGACGATCTCTGTAAAATAAGTCGAGTGGCGAATCAACCTCATATACAAGCACTTGCCACCAGTAGTATCACGGCCAACAAAGAAAACCATAATCATCATGAACGTTCCTCCTCGATCCCCATTATCAAAACAGGTAATCGTGCTATCAACTCTCCTATTCCAAGTCCGTCGGATTATACCTATGGATCTAGTATACCTCGCAGTTTGGAGCGACCCAAGAGTAAAGCAAAAAAAAAAAAAAAAAGTCTCATGGAATGAATTATTGTTTTAAACCTCCCCTTAATTAGGTGTAATATTAACTATGGATGCTGTAAAGAGCAAACCGGTGCATATTAACGATCCTGTTGAACTTAGTATCATGACAAAGGATAGCAAAAGCAATAGTGATGAAACAGAGAATACGGAGTACCTTTATGACATCAGCTCTGGTAAAACAACAATAGGAACAGAAAGAAAAAAATATCTAGTTTTGACTCTTTACATATAGTTGGATATGCTCATTTACAAAAACTCTTGTACAAGATTGCTATGGAAGCATTTCCTCCTCATATCCCAGGTAAAAAAAAAAAAAAAAAAAAAAAAAAAAAAGGAAAAAAGGCGCCCACACATGTTACTTAATAATTAACCCTTGGTGTACAGAATTTTCTGCAGATCCATTAGTGATGAAGCGTATTCGAAGACTCACACAGGGAACACCCATAGCGAAAAACATCAATAGTTGGAAACCCGAGGGAACACTTGTAGCTCATTTCACCGAACATACAGCCACTGTCAACCAATTGGCCATCTCTTGGGATAATCTCTTGTTTGCTTCCTGTTCAGATGATGGTACAGTCCGTATCTGGGATTGCTCTCGTTTTGAAAAGAATGTCACCAATCGTTCTCGTGCCACTTACAGTCAACAGGGAGGTCGTATCAAATGCTTGACTTTTATTCAACAGACCTATAGTATTGCTGCTGCTTCAGATAATGGTAGCATCCATGTCTTCCGGTACGTTCATTCTTCCCAAACACAATTTTCTATTCAGACACTCCCCCCCCCCCCTTAATAACTAATTATTATTTCTTATTTACGTAGTGTGGATATTCGAAATGCAGGACAGGCTTTGAAATTTTCTAAATGTGTCACGGTTCGTGAATACCAGTTAGTGGATGAACATGCTATTATTCTTAAGCACTTTACCAGCAGTAAGTCTCTTTTTTTTTAAAAAAGTGTGAGAGGGTAATACACACATGTTAACTTTTTTTGTTTGTAAAGATGCTTCCAATACAATGGCAGGATCCAAATCGACCCTGATGTTTGCTACAACCAAAGGCAACATTTACGCTCTCGATTTACTGACGATGGAGATTATTTGGAAGTTGGAGAACCCAAAGAGTCATGGTATTATTACAGCCATGACGATGGATCGACTCAACACGTGGCTTTTAGTAGGTACGATGCGAGGTATCTTGACCATGTACGATTTACGGTTCCAGATCCCATTAAAATCGTGGCTTCACCCCAGTAAGAGTCGTATCAGCGCATTAGTGCTCAACCACGATCCTCGTACGGAGAATAAACATGTGATGATTGCAGCGGGACGAAACGAGGTCTCCGTGTGGGATATTGTGAGCTTGCAATGTGTGGAAGTGTTTGCTGTTAAAGCGGGAGATGAAAAGACAACGGGAGTCATGTTGGAAGCCTATAAGGCTTTAGAGGCACCTCGAGATACGGATATCTTGATCCATTCCTTTACAAACCATGAATCCAAGTTTGAGGAGAATTCAATCCGAGCTGTGGCATCACCCTTTGATTGTAAGTTTATGATTACAGGTGGTCAGGATCGTAAGATTCGGTTCTGGGATACGTCGAGAGTGGAAAATTCCGGTGTTGTTCTTGGTTTGGATATGGATGAAGCAAAACCTCGACACAGGTAAAAAAAAAAAAAAAAAGACTTAAATATATCTATTTTATAGTGATAAACTAATGGTGGGTTTTTTTTTATATGTGATGTAGCACAAACACATTTGACACGATCAAATTTCACTTTGAATTCACACAATCCAATAAGAGTCAAAATACAACGAATATAGGAAGTCGCACAAACGCATCGAACCAAGTTGTGAATAATAATGGGATCACACAACAGCAATATTTAATGAGAAATCACACAGATGCTATTACAGATATTATTCTTGTGACAGAAACAACGTATCCCTTAATCATTAGTGCAGACCGAGATGGTGTTATTAAAGTCGTATCCTAAAAAAAAAAAGGGTTATTTATTTTTTTAATTGGCCCAGTGTTGAGTTGATATGGGTTCGTAGTGCAGATCGAAGCTCGAGTGTCCGTTGCTCTGGCTCCATGGTTTTTAATTTTGTCTGTAATTCGGGGATGGTTGTGAGGATAGATTTTTTTAGAGTATCTAGATTAATTTTCAGACATTCCAAACTGTATACGGGATCCTCCACTAAAGAAATACAATCAGATAAGTTTGTTCTACTGCATTGCCTTTCATGTTTTTTTTTTACCTTTGTGTTTCTTTGGGGCATCTGATAGAAAGGAAACCACATTGATGCAGTCGTCCAATTGGTCTGACTTATCTTGCAGGTCTCGTATCGCATTATTCAGATAATGTTGCAATTTAAGTTGCTTTCATGGGAAAGAAATGAGATACATTATCTCTCTCCTTTGTGTTTCTTTCTCTTACTTACAGTGACCAGTTCCTCTCTGATTTGAGTTAGCTGTAAATCCAATATTTTCTCGTGGTCGGGTGTGAGGTTAGTCTGGATGTCTTCTAAATAAGCAGGTTTGATATCGAGTTTTTCGGGTATTCTAAAGATGCTTTTCAGCATGTATCCTTGAAACTTGTTAAATGAACGGTCCAGTTCTAGTTCTGTGCGTAATTCAAAGCTTCGAATGGCCTAGAGTGTTTATTGTTTAGTGAAGGCATGGTGGTTTTAGGGGGGGTTTTTTTTACCTCTTTTATTTCAGCTTCCTTTTCAGGACATAGTGAAGTAAAATGCACAATGAAGCCTTGTGTGATATTATAAAGGCAGAGGTTCATGGCATCGTATAATTCGTCAATGAGTTCTGATGGCAAGAAGCCAAATATTTCCACTAGTAGAGTGTGGTCAATGAAATCGTCGTGTTTTGCCATGAAGTATACAAAAAAGAAAGAAGAGAGAGAGAGTCACATTTTTTTTTTTTGTTTTTTTTTGCTCCGAATATAAAGAAAGAAACATTTCTGTGATTTTCTGCACCCCAACTCTTTTCTTTTTTGTCAATTAAAAAAAAAAAAAAGTCCTTGACTAATATTGACCAGTAAATAAATAACATAGAGTCTGTAAGTAGAACAAAGAAGTATTAAGTTGTACGCGTTTTTAATTTTAAATAGTAAAAGCACTCTTTCTCCCTTTCTCTCTCTCTCTCTCTCTCGTGTACCATATTCTTTTTTCTTCTATTATTATTACTATTTCTTCTTTTTATATACTCTACAACAACTATGGTTCCAATAGTCCCCATGAATTACAACAATGAACACTACAAAGCATACATGAATGGTAATGAATACCAACAAGCTCCTCCTCCTCCTCCTCCTCCTCTACAACATCAACAGCCAATGCCTATACCCATGGCTCTTCCCATGATGAACCATCTTATGGCTCCTCATCACCTTCATCCTCCTAATTTCTTTGCTCATCCTCCACCTCCACCTCCTCCTCCTCAACCCATGTATGCTACGGACGGCAACAACGGACAATATATGGACTATGTACAACCTGGCTATCATACGAATAATGTGGGATATATGCACGGTAAAGAAAGTAAACAAAGAAAAAAAAAAAAAAAGACAGGATTAACAAAAAAATGAAAAAAAAAAGTAGGATATTATCCAATGATTAGTGTGTATGTTCCTGCATTACAGAATTCATTTGCGATCAGCTCTTCAATTCTCTGTCGTTCACCTGTGCTTCATCAACGTATTATGGATGACCCATCAACTTCACTTGAGCTGGATCTCTATGTGCTTCAAGAAACGTTTGATATCATTATGGGTCATCTCAATCGCCCAATTTCCCATCAAGATATCATTTTTTACGCTTCAAAGAAACCTCATATTGCGATTGAATTACTTGAAGCTTCGGAAGAATTAGGTCTTGAACAATTGTTGGATCCCATCTTGGGCGCATTGAATCATAATCTCAATCATCAAAAGACTGCCATGATTTATGTGAATGCTATGGAACCTTATCAACCGTTGGAGGAAGAAGAACCTCGTCGATGGGTAGAACTGTTGGAAGAAGATGTGGTTTCGTTCATGGTCAATGGATTATCGGCTCAATTGGATGCGTTTTCGACACACGTCAAAGTGAGTGGGGATTTTTTGATTGGTCAGATTCATGCCTGTGGTTACATGCCTTCACGTACTCCCCCCAAACATGGATTGATCGATTTGGCTCGTGCCTATGCCGCTTTGCCTCAACATCTCATGATTCGTTGTCTGGAACATCCTAATTTACCTGTTCAGGATGCTATTCAACGCTCCAGCTTTGCAAAGACAGTGTTGGCCATGGTCGAGAGTATGAATCAACATCAGCATCATCAACATCAACAACATCAGCAGCAACAACAGCAACAGCACCCACCTCCTCCTCCACAACAACAGCAACAACAACAGCAACAGATACGTCAAAATCAGCACTCGACTAGTACAGGTAATCATCTGATGGCTGTTATGAAGTTTGAAAATGGAAGAGATACTATTGCTGTGGTTCGTCAAACTGGATTAAAGAAAGGTTCATGGGATCCTAAACTTTACGAGTTGCATCAATGATCAAAAACATTTATATAAAAAAAAACAGAAGAAAAAAAAAAAAACAAGAGATATAATTTTTTTTTGTTTTTTTTTTGTTGTTGTTGTTTTTTAAGGGTAAAGATGAATACTCTTCTTAAAATCATCTACATAAACTCTTAATCTAGCATATTCAGGTGCAACAATATCATCTAATTAGAAGAAGAAAAAATGTTTTTTTTTTTTTTGTCAATAAAAGTATTTTAAAATATATACATGTATAAATCTTACCTTCACTGTAAGCTCTTCCTTGAACACCATAGGCTTTTACCAGGTAGCTCCAGAGTCTTTCACTAACAATATCACCATGCGTCTCTGGCGATGGACGGAATTTATCCATGGGCAATCGAATATTTGGGTCTAAAGTGCCATTACTACGTGCCAATTTACTATTCGTGATCTTTCCAGGTAAAGGAGAACCCTCGCCTACATATAGGTGTAAGCTACAATGATACTCAACCAACAAAAAAAAATTATTATTAAAAAAAATTCAACTCACGTGTACGGAATAACATCCAGGTTCGACCCCACTGCTTTTCCACCAAGTAATGCTTCAATGACATATCCTCTCTTCTTAACTCTTGCACATAGAGCTGATGCTCTGCTTTGCGTCTTTTATCTAAATCGTCGCCCGAGGCAGGTGCCGTTATATACTCTACAATACTCTCCACCTTGGCGTTTTCCAGCTTACAAGGGCACTTGAAGCAGTACATATCCCCACTCGATAATTCAAGTTGGACAGGGAAATGCTCCTCATCCTCCACATCTGTCTCTAAGCACTCTCTACATGCTATATACGTTTTACTGTCAGTTACCTTTGTCTATCTCTCTCTCTATATACTTTTTTTGTATAAAAAAAGTCTCTCACCTTCGTAATGACAATTGTCACTCATGTTCAAAAAGGTGGCAGTCTTGGATAAACAGAGGTCGCATAAGGATGGGTTAGCACTCTTGAACAGGATTCGCTTGATTTCATTCACAGTGTCAGACACTTCGTTCAAGTGGGGACACTCTTCTGAGTGTAATCCATTGCTCAATGGCTCTTCGGGGCTAGCATCCTCTTCTGGCTTGTCAGGGGTAGTATCTTCTTCTGGCTTACCACTGCTAATATCTTCTTCCTCTGGCTTGCTAGGAGTAGTATCTTCCTCTGGCTTGTCAGTAGTAGTATCTTCTTCTGTATTGCTATGAGTAGTATCTTCTTCAACCTTGCTAGGAGTAGTGACTTCTTCTGCTGCATCAGTCGTGGTGGGTTCTTCGGCTGTTGTGCTTGTGGTAGTCACGCTAGAAGTAACATTGGTGACTTCTTCTGCCTTGCTAGTAGTATCCCTAGCTTCTTCTGGATGACTTGGATGATCTTCCTCCATAGGAATAGCTTCTTCCTCCACTACTGCTGCTGGTGGTGGTGGTGTTGATGGTGCTGGTGGATGACTGATATGATCATGGTCTTCCATAGTAGTGTCTTGAACAGAGGCTTGATGGGATGCTTCTACTGGTAATTGAGCAGTGGATGTATCTTGTGTGGAAGGCGTGTTATGTGTGACTTGTTCCTTGTGAGCAAGCGATCTTTGTTGTTGATACAATTGCACCCATGTCTGATCGGGTTGTTTGGCATGGACGTGAAAATCACGTTCGACGAGGTGTCTAAATACAAGTTCGTCCTTGATGAGATGACGGAAGGCCTTGGCACTTGAAGAAAGTTGGGATATGCTTGCAACGTCTAAAAATGTGGTGATATTGATCAACACTTCGGTCGTCAATTTTTCTATTCTACTCTGGTTACTAAACATCGCGTACTTTTTTTTTTTTTATATCTCTTTCTTCTTCTTCTTCTATGTTATGTGTGTGCAAAAAAAAAAATATAAATATAAAAAAAATAAAGAGAGGAGGAAAAAAAAAGGCGAAAAAGAAAAAAAATAATGTCGCCTTGTTAAAAAAAAAAAAAATTAAATTTTTTAAACTGACACGATTGGTTTGTGCATGGTGGGACGAGAAAGTAAAAAAAAAAAAAAAAAAAAAAAAAAAATTGTGTACGCGTAAAAATATACATGACGCACATATAAAATTCATGCATGATAACAACATTCACCACGTATAAGCAACCCTACTTTTAATATGTAAAATGATACTCATAAAATATATAATACATAAAAAAAATAGATAAAAGATCATACGTACATCCCAAAAACAATTTATCTATTTTCAGTGACCGATCTAACTAACTAGCGGGAATGGATGAGTTGCTTGACAGAGTTTAAAAAAGTATCAGCTTCAATGGCTTCTTCTCTTCCCTTCTTCATTGATTGGAATTCTCTTTCTAGTTTTTCAATTTCTCGATTTACTTTAGCTGTTTCCATGATTACCACTGCATTCTGTTTAGACACTTGATTTTCATGTAGTTCAAACCGTCTCGTATAAGCAAGCATCTCATTCATCTCTACATAGTCTTCTTCTTGTTCATTCAACTTTTCAATCACTCGATTCCTAAAATCTTCAATCACACAAGCCTCAAGCACATCTTGTGTACTCGCCCTATCCATCATTAGCTTTCCCTATTCCCCCCAAGCCTTTATTCTATTTTTCTTTTTCTTTTCAATCCCTTACTTGACTTTGGCTACTTCCGTTTCACACTCCCGCTTAAATGCTTCCATCTGCACTCTACCTAATCGAATCATTTTCAATACATTAGTTCCCAGTTTCTTGGCCAACAGTGGAGCTGTCTTGGCCAGAATCTCTTCTTCATCATATTCATCCTCCACCTCCTCTTGCTCCTCCTCCTCCTCTTGTCGTGCTTCTTGGACAGCCTCATGTAAGTCTTCCCCTTGCACAGGCTCATACATGTCTACGCCATCATAGCCGTAATCATCATATCCCATATCTGAATCCATCGTGTAAGTAGGAGGTGCTTCATTCATCTCTAAATGCACCTGGTTCATCTCCTGCGTCGTTATGGGTGGTGTTTCATCAGTTGTTTTATGAGCCTCCAAATCCACCCGGTCCATCTCCTGAGTAGTTATGGGTGGTCCTTCATCATCTACTGGCATGTGTGCTTCATCATCATCCATCGGTAACTGTGCTTCCTCGCTCACGTGTGCCTCCTCTTTATCCATCGGTACGCTCTCATCCATCGGTACGCTCTCATTCATCGGTACGCTCTCATCCATCGGTACGCTCTCATCCATCGGTACACTCTCATCCATCGGTACGCTCTCATCCATCGGTACGTCCTCATCTGATGGTAACCCTGCTTGATCAGGTTCGTTCGGATGATCAATGTGCACATCTTCCATCTCTCGAGTTGGCAATTCCTCATCTAGTGCTTCAGGCGTCTCTTTCGTCTCTTGCGTTGGTGGTAAGCTTTCCACCTCTTGCGGTGCTTCCTCTCCCTGATCTTCTTCAGCACTCAGATGTACGTTTTCCGTTTCTCGTGATGATTCCTCTTCTAGTCCAGCACCAGACGCTTCAAGCGTCTCTTCCGTCTCTTGCGTTGGTGATGGTAGTGGTGCTTCCACCTCTTGTGTAATCGTAGCCGGTACTTCCTCCCCCTGATCTTCTTTGACACTCAAATGGATGCTTTCCGTTTCTCGCGTTGATTCCTGATCTAGCATCGGTGGTGGTACGGTTTCATTGGGTTGTGATGGAACTTTTGCTTGTAGCGATACTTCTTCATCCAATTGTATCTCCTCTCTCATTTCCTCTGGTGTGTGTTCCCTGTTTATACTTGCGGTACGATGCACGAGTAGAGGAGGTGATACGGCTCTTTGTGAGGCAGATCTGACACGGATGGGTCTATAAACAAAGTCATCTTCTACGAGCGCATCGGGTGAAGGAGGTATAAAAGTGGATGTGTGGACCGGTGCATGCTGTTGATCTCTGTCTGGCGTGTATAAACCTACTTGAGATGTGACGGCATATCCCTGCGTTGAGACACGACTGGAGGACACGCTAGGCGCTTGGGGTCGAGGAGTGGCTGAATCCATGAATTCATCCAGAGCGTGTGTCACACCGTGATAAAACTTGGGTGAATTGGAACGAGGACGTTTCGTACTGGCTATCGATTCGTCAGGATGAGAACGTTTCTGAGACGTTTCTTATGTTGGTGTGTGTTAAAAAAAAAATTAGAAAAAATAGTATAAAAAGATTGGGGGTGTGTTTATCGTTTACCAGTGGAAGGTTTAACTTGAAAAGAATCCAATTTTATACTACGATTACTGACATTGGTGCGACGAGTAGAGGTACTTCTCATGGAGGTGAATCCAGAGATTTCGGAAAGGGTTGTGTCGGGTACACCTCCAGGTAAATCCTCTATTCAATGGAGGGAGTTTTTTTTTTTAGTAAGAGTTGTTCTCTGTGAGGTCGTGTTCATTGTTTGCTTTAACCAACCTGTAGGTACGACAATAAACGGTGTAAGCACACGTTTTATTTTATCGCTGTATAAAAAGAGATTAGGTCATAAGGTAATTAAAAGCAATGTCATTTATACCCTGAGCCCTTCAATCGTTGTCTTAATCGCTCTTCATGATATTTGTCCAACATGTCTTGTATAATGTAGTTATAAAAGAGGGTGTAATACGGGGACTGACTGCTTTTTTTATTTATTTATTTTAAAATATACTCCAATAAAATGTTTATTTTTGTCAAGCAAGTTAAAGTATCGGAATAGTTGTATTTAACATGGAAGATATCGATGGTTTCTTTTGCCAGTACTCGTTATTGGCGTCTTGATGACGCGAGAGCATGGGAGGTAAATGAGTCAATGGGGGAGATAGTAGTGGTGATACGGCAGCTGCAGCTGTTGCTGGTGTGTCAGTAGGTGTTTGGCAAATGGGTTCAGGAGAATGATCAGGCATATGTGATGAAGAGGTATGAGGTGGAGATGGTATCAAGTCATGGTTATGATAAAAGGCGAATAATTCGTCGCCTGGCGAAATATCCTTCTTTGTCCAACATACAATCTGATTCTTGATCTCGCCTTCATAAAATGCTACATTGACCTTTTCTCGAATGGTGGTTTCTTTGATATAATGAAAAGGACAGAGTGGTGCGCCATCATGATAATAAATGCGTCCATTCTTATCGGTGGGATCAATCACGGTCTTTTGATACATGTAACTGTACTCGGATGCTTGTCCTATCCCATCCTTCATCGAGTCAAACTCATCTTCCGTCATGGGTACGCCGAAATAATAGCCTAATGGTATATTATGGGGTAATGGACGACTTGCAAATAAGCCATAATAATTATTGTTATTGTAATAATGATAATTATCGTTGGCAGACGCTGTGGATTTCTTAAGAGCAATAATATCCTGCCATTGACGAGGTGTACCTTGTTCATCCTTGTGTTCTTCCTTCTTGGTCTTTTTTACGACCATACTCTCACTCTTTGTTAAGTTGCGTTGTCTTTTACGGTTGGCTAAAAACTCATCAAACTCGGTAGGATACGTTTGCATAATCTCGAGCTCTTTCACGAAGTCCAATTTAGGCTTCTTTTGCGACCCAAAACAGTACGGCCAATCATGTTGCACTAAATTCGCCTGCCATTCGTTGTACTCTTTAAACGCACTTTCAAAGCTACCGGGTTCAAACGATAATCGGAAATGCATGGACTTGCTGCCATCAGGCTTAAACGGTATAAAGTAACGATCGCTATTGTTGGTCAAAATAGCTGAAGCCGAGTTCATGGGTGTCTAAAAGAGAAAGCAAAAGTGTCAATTAAAAAAAAAAAAAAGAACCTCTTTATTTTTTTATTTATTCATTAAACACATTACCTTTCCTCGAAAGACTTTAGGCACTAACCTTTCTTCACTAATGCGCTTGTCGTTTGCTAAAGCGGACTTGATGAGGTCTGTACGAGCCATGGTCTTTTCGGTATGTTGCCTGAGAGCCAAATACAACATGTAGGCTTGATTATGCCAACGAGGTTGTTGGTTGGTCGAGCTAAATCGATTTGTTTTCTTTCGCTTGTAGGCCTCTGTTGCGCTGGGCTTCACCATCTTGCAATACTCTTCGGCTGAACGTTTTGATTGACCCGTCTTGTCATCTCTTGGTGTACTACATTGACTGTCAAGCATCTTTTTTTCTCTCTCTTTTTTTTTGGTTTTTGTTATATATAAAAAAAAGAAGACAGCAATGTTTTTTCTTTGAGGATTGTTAATACGCGCGCGCTAATAAAACACGGGCTAATGAGTTTGTTCAAGAAGGAAAATAAAAAAAATAAAAATAAAAAAAAATAAAAATAAAATAAGCTTTTTGTGCTTTATAGCCAATAAAATTTTACTGCAAAAGAACCAATGAAAGATAAGTTTAATAAACACTTTGCCTCTTTAATAAGAGTTACTGGTTAACGTGGAGGTACAATTGTCTTTAAAAGTGTGTGTTATCCTTTCGTTATGACATGTAAAAAAAAAAAAAAAAATCGGGATAACTGTAAAAGTTACCCCTACTCCTTCCTCCCGAAAATTGATCAGGTGCTTTTAATCCAAAATGTCAAAATCGCACGCTCGCTTTATCTGTGTCTTTTACTTACTTTTGTTGACTTAGGTACCTCATTTAACTTTGTCAACATATAGCTTAAATAAACGCATTCGAAAATAAAAGTTTAAAAAGAGGGATGCAAACCTACAAGGGATTTTGCCCAGCTTTGAGCATACCCATAACCTTCTCCTAATTATCATTCTTCTCTGAACAGGTTTCGTTCGATGGATGATCACGCCTGTCTGTGTGCGGAAAAGGGCATGGCAACAAGTATGGTAACCAATAACTACGGCTTAAAGTTCTTATGTGACAGATCTCTTCATATCAAGTAACATAATGCTTAAAAAGGCACGTTATTAAAAATGAAGTATGGTTTGGCACGCGTACCTTTAGGGATTTTGTCGGCTCTCCCTCCTTTGACATCAATGACTGCTTGGCATCGGTATTTGATACCAGTACAACAATTGTGATAGTGAGCACCAGACTTTTAGTTGTCAACTTAGTTTTATTATTTATTAAAGAATATTTCTGAACTTCAAACAGCCGTCCATTTTTTTGTCCAGGGGAATCAGAACAATTGTTGATATAGTTGGAATGAGCATTTTACTTGAGATTGCTGTTAGTGGCCTCATGTTATCCGCAAATTTTATTAATATTAAATATCTTGATTTCCAAATGAGGTACATAACGACACCAGCCATGACACTAAATTTTTGCTCGTTATATATTTCCATATGTTGGTAAGGACTGTAGCATGTCTTCACTATTAGCACTGTGCTGACTTTATCTGTCTTCCTCACTATGTTTATTTTTCATTTTCACCCCTTCACAACTAATTTTATTAACAATAGGGCCCACATTGTTCGTGTCAGGCAGTGGTTAACAGCAATATGTATATTGACGATATGAAGCTGTCAAAAGAAGGGACTCCAGGTCTCAATTTTGCGTCATGCAATTTCCATTTGACTGTTGAAACAATCACGTGCTGCAAAAAACAAAGAAAGGCGGATTTTTTTTTTTTATTATTATTATTCACGTTTCTTTTCCTTCCGTAGCAAAATGTCACGACACCAGAAGACATCTAATGTTCACAATTTAAGGGACAATGAAAACACAAACATTAGTCCAACAAGCAATGCAGAAAACAGAGTGGTTATAGTTATTGAAGACACGCCACCTGGTTCACCCATTCCCGAAAGTAGTCAAGCAAAGGAAGATAACAGGGTGGTCATTACAATTGACGACACGCCACCTGGTTCGCCTATTCGTGAAAATACCCAAGGAGAGGAAGGTAAGAATAATACAAGTAACTATAAGAACCCAGATAAAGCATCAAGAAAAGTGACAGTCTCTATAGGTGATAGTACCACCAATCAAAGTGGTAATCCGCGTAACCGTAATACGGATACAAGAGTGGATTATAGAGCTGAGAATAGGGATCGTTTTTCTTGCCGAAGCCCATCCCCGCGCCGTCATCGTACACGGTACCCTTCAGGATACTATCGTCGATCACCTTCGCCCCATAACATGAATAGGTATGGTCATTCAAATTCATCAAGACGCCTCCGTCTTTCATTGTCTCCCCAACGACGAGGTCGCTCAAATCCACCAAGACGCCTTGTTCGTTCATCGTCTCCCAAACGCCGAAGTCCTTCACCTACAGTACGAATTCGTAAGCGTTTACCCTCTCCACTTCTCCGTGATTGTTTACGCGTAGCAAGACTTTGTAGTCAATCGAAACCAGAACGTAAACTCAAGTTATCGGAAAAACAAGACCGACAGAGTAGTAGGATTTATCCTTTTTGTTTTTTTTTTTTTTTTTTTTTTTTTTTTGATAACGTAATGATATCTGAAGCAATTAACCCTTTACTAAACCATATTGATACACATGCTTTATACTTTTTTTAGTACCAAATTCGCCAGTATCCAGCCAAAACCCCAGCATACCGCCACCCCAAGCAGAATCCAGTATGCCACCACTTAGGGTGCCTGTATCTAACCCAGAACCCGTCATGACAACACCTCAATCAGGACCCTATCGTTCATCATCTGCCATGCGCCACTCAGCATACGGTCGCTTCACTCCTAATTACATATCTATTATTAAATCGTTGGACGCTTTACCGATAAAGGTTATGGAAAACTTTGGACATATGAATAAGACATTACCAGCCGGTCAGGACACAACTCATTTCGAGGCTAAAGAAGGTGGACAAACAGGTATGACTGATAATACTTTAATTGAAACAGACAGGGATGATAATGTCATTGGTAAAGACATGTTAGCTATGAGGGAAAATACACCAGAAGCTGTAGAGGTGCCTACGCCAGTGACGACAGAGTCGTCTAAACCAGTACTTACAAAAACCACCAATCCAGCAGTCGCAGATAAAATTCTGCCAGTCGTATTGTGTACACCTAAACCAGTGGTAAGTATGTTTAGTTACCTACAGAACCATATTGACAGTAGAAATAAGGAATATGGGAATCAACCATCCCTTAAAAATAATGATATCAACAGCGGCAGCGGCAACGGGACAATAGCGCCAGCTTCTGTGCGATTTGTTGAAAAACACTCTGCTAGCGATGATTTGGGTGGTACCAGAAAGAAGGTGGCAAGACTGTTACCACCATGGAGAGTGAAGATGACAGATGATGGGGATATCTATTATTATAATCCCATCACAGGCGCAACTAGCCAAACAAGACCCTCATAAACATATAATCAATGTATAATAAACGTCATTTTCATAATTTTTAATACAAAAATAGCGCATGATCTATTCCTAGAAAAAAAAAAGACACAAGGTCTCTCATCTTCTTCTTTATTCAGGGGAATTAGGGAACGTTTGTCAATTACATTGATTGGTATGCTGATAGTAAACTACCGATCTTAAGTATATAATACACCTTTTCCTCTCTTTTCTTATTGAATTGTGATAGTTTTGTCTACAAAGCCATTAATGCGCACCTGGCACTCGACTCTGACAGCTGAGACTCAAATATTTGGGTGTGGATAATTTGTTTTCCACACCCGTATTTTTTTTAGCACTGATTGCATGTCCATATACACTTGAGTTTTGTATCCGAGCCAAATAACGTTGTTGAGGATATCATAGACATAATAATAAAGTTAATTGTCACATCACATTAAGGATGGATAATAAGTTAATCATGAATCACACATTACCCCGCTTGTTCTCACCCTACCGTTGAAGTCTGTACACAGGGCACAGCCCTGTGGCGAGTAAATATTTATTCTCCAAAAAGCAATACAATCGAATGGGCCTGGACTATAGAATATTAATAGATCCTGAGCACAAATATTACTCTTGTCATTGGATGTTATAACTGTTGATCCCTCTGACTAATATTTAAATACTCAGTATGGAAGGGCTAAATTTAAAGACATGTTGATTATTTACTATCACCAGGTCATTACATCATGATCCAATAAGGCGCTTAATATTCTCCCTAGAACTATCCCATTTCCTTATATAAATATTTATAGTTTTTTCCCATAGACCATCATACGTTTTTTAATTAATTTAATTTTTTCGTCCATAATAAAGTGGTATCCAAGTTCTGACAGTATCACTTTTGGTTTACTTTAATTTTTTTCTCCATGTACATAAAACAGCCACAACACCAGAAGATATCCGAAGAAAGGGCTAATGTCCACGAAACAAGGCATAATGAACGCGAAAACATTAGTCTAACAAGCAGTACTCATAACAGAGTGATTATAATTATTGACGACATGCCACCTGGTTCACCCATTCCCGAAAATACTCAAGCAGAGGAAGGTAAGAATAATACAAGTAACTATAAGAACCCGGATAAAGCATCAAGAATAGTGACAGTCTCTATAGGGGATAGTGCCACCAATCAAAGTGGTAATGATAACAAATACATCATACCCAGACAGTCAATATCTCCTGTCGCTCGCCAAATTGGTACCCACGGATTCAATACTTCCCCACCGCGTAACCAGGATAGGGATACAAGCTTAATTTATAGAGCTGAGAATAGGGATCGATGTCCTTGCCGTTATCGTAGACAGTCCCCTTCAACACACACTCTTTGATCACCAACATGAATAGGTCACCATCACCTTCCGATTACCCATATAATTCTCTTTATTACCCTTATCAGGGTCATTCACCCTCTTCGCTAAGCCGTAGTCGCTCGCCATTTCCAGTTTACCGTGGTCGATCACCCTCTCCGCTAAGCCGTAGTCGTTCATCTCCCTTACGCCGCGGTAGCTCATGTCGTATTTGGGTACGATTTACTTGAGAATAAACAAATAAATCGTATAAATAATAAAAACAGGAAATAAAAACATCCTTTGATGTTGAGTAACAGCATACACCTGTATGCTACTCCACAACTACTCCTACTATAAGTCTCAGTACTAACTTTTTGATTCGTCCAGAAAAAAGCTGATATCATCTAAATTCAAAGTACAAATACTGTAGCAAGGTCTACCGAAGGCATTTCAACTATAGTTACAACATCGTCTGCTCGTACAGAGTTTCATACTAAATTAGGAACAATCTATGACATGGATGTAATGATCGTTGATATTGATATAGCGCTATCACGGATTTAGATATAAAAAAGGGACAATCATATAACAATTGTGATATTGAGCACCAGACTTTTGGTTGTCAACTTAGTTTTAATGTTTATTAAGAATAATTCTTAAGTGATCTTAGACGATAAAATATATGGATAAAGCAAATAAATGTAAATCGATAATAATACAGCGAGAGATGAGAAAAGAATATAGTTCTTAGATTTAAAAGATTAAAGAGTTTACGACGGGTTTATGTAAGAAGATGCAGTGGTTATATTATTACAATAGACAACAAACAGCAACAAAAAGCGGAGCAAATACTACTTAGTATCAATTACAAGGTAAATCCCAATTTTAAATGAAGACAAAACTAAAGAATATTTATTTACAAGAAAGATCCTACCATGTGTAACAGCAAGCCATATTATTATTGGCTGAAAGATCATTCGTAAATATCTTTTGGCTGCACCTTAATGTCTTTCAATCCAGTTGGTCTCGCAGTGATACTTTGGGTATAATGTAAAGAGGTGACCAGCCTCGAATGTCACAGTCTCCAACATATTCTTCTGCGCCAAGAAATCAGGTTGCTGAGATAACAAGTACTCAGCACAGCAGCCAGGTTGAACAGCAGGGTCATGAACTGTACCAGAAGGGCATACCTTGCGCAGCGAAGCATTCTTGTCCAACAAGCCGCGCTCCCTCAACAAAATGAGCGTACCTCTGAAGACCTCACGTGCCTACAAGATATAATGAAATAATTGAAATTTAGATTTTCATGTCATGTATTAAGTTCAAATATTTACTCTTGGAAGCCTGTATTGATACAGGAGGTCTTGAACGGACACTGGTTGCTGCTTTGCCCTCCTGGTAGCAACAATCTTCTTTACGGCTTCCATATTCACCGTCTCGGTCCGGTACATGGGCTGGGCCTTCACTCGACCTTCCTTATCTGTAAAAGTGGTATCCCGAAACCTATACTTAGCCATATCTTTAAATTTAGGAATGATCATGGATTCGTTCTTCTCACGCTGACGAATGACTTTACAATCATTTGAATAAAAGATTGATTCGTCGTGAGTAACTAAAACCATCTTCTTTCCATTGTCCCTCAGGTCAGGTTGAACTGGATTAGCATTTTCATCATCCAATGTATAGGTTTCCATACGTTTGTGCCATTCCAACATTTGTTGGGCCCACTTAATTCGATATCTGACAACATCAGCACGCTCATGACCATCAAAGTACGTTTGATCCTTTCCTACATATATAAGCTGAAGTATTAGGATGTATGCCAAGTTTTTACATATTGTATTTACCAATTTTATAGTCAAATCCCCAAGCCTTCAGTTAGGTTAAAAGAGCGATGTTGGGCAAGAGATACTCTGGTTGAGAGGAAATGACATCGGCACCGGCCTCAACATCATTTTCCTACTCAAGTAACTCCGGGAGCACTTCCTGTCGTATATGCTGGCAAAGAGCAAGGAAATTTCGACGGACAGGGTCTTGGCTCCAAAGCCAAGCAACTCATCTTTCCTCCACATCAGGATCGCTGAGAATCGATTTTCTCTTCGCATGTTTACCTTGCTGATGACATGGAATATCACCAGTGATTATCCAAGCTTCAAACCACTTTCTGGCAGCACGATGACGGTAAGATTCGGAAGCTTGAGGCCAGTGCAAATCGACTGCAAGCTTTGTTGCTTCCACAAAAGTTTTTCCGTCTAAAAGATGCAACATAACTTTCTTTACAACAACATACTTCAGAAATTGTTTGATGCCTTCGTGGTGTTGATCGCTGGTGACATTACCGGAAATAACGGTCTTTGATTCCAAAATGGGCAAAGACGCACGAATCCTTTCCAGAGTTGCTTCATCGGGTCTTCTCGGCTTCTCGAGTTTCTCTACCTGAGGTGGTGTAGCAACCTGTTGAACCACGGGGAAAAAGTGGTTGATCGAATGACAGCCTACAGCTGCCTTGGCTGCAGCAGATCTCTTTCTGCTGAGCGTCTCTCTTGCAGGAACAAGTTTACGTTTATACTTCTGCTGTCCTGTTTCTTCGGTTGCCTTACTCCAGGAAATGGGGAAAGCTTCGGCATTGACTTGAACAACGTCAGGTGTAGGCACGTCAAAGATTTCAGTCTCAATGACATTCTCTTCATTAGCCTTGTTAGCAGCTGCTGCGATTCTTGCCATTTGAATAGCTTTAGCCCTTCTTCCAATGTTAATTCTTTTTCTTGATTTAGCCATAATTTGAATATTGATATGTACGGATTTATAAGAGTAATTCGAGAAAGAGTTATTACAAGGTACACAAATAAATCAAAGTTTGTTTTAAACTCAAAATTCCTACAGGTCATTTTTAAAGCTCCCATAAAGTAGTACGTTCAAAAATTGTAAGCCTTTTTGATGTATTTTATAATTTCAAAGAAAGTTACATCGATCATTCCTCTTTAAATAATCAAATACTCCATGTTGTAGACCAGCTTAGTTAATGCATTAAATTTCTTATATCTTTTTGGTGATTTACAGGGTTGATCAAATTTGGCCTCAGACATTGATTTAATACCGTTCAAAACATGGGCCTTCGGTAGCCCGTAACAACGCCAATTCGCGGAAATCGAGAAGTAAATTGCATGCTGTTTTTTTTTGGTTCATTTTGCATTTTGAGCTTTTGTCCAGACTTAGTTTGCACTTCTGCGTTATTGCCAAAGGTTCGTTTTAAATTTTATCACTATTGGAGCAACAAAAAATACTGGAATGTTCGATGCAACTTTGCTGGCTTTGTACTGATAATATTTAAGTTACAAATCTGTGGAACAAAATCTTAAAGCACAAACATATTTGAGCAATACTAATCTTGTTATTTTAATAGGAAGTGTAACATATCAATGCAATTATGTATAAGAAAGGCAAGTATCGAGTAATCAAGGCGGATCCTTGTAAATATATAAAAGGTTTATTAACATAATTTATGTTGGTATAATAAAAAAAAAATGAAAAGTGTGCTGATGATGGTACACATGCATATCTAGGGAAGAGTTATCACATTCGAAAACATTGTGAGATTGGTCGCTTCGGTATGTCACAACAATTTAGAACTTACCATTGTCACGTATGGAACAAAGTTCCTACAAAACATCCAATTAAATAGTTAAATGGGTTTCCACACCGCTTTACTTCGCGTAACATTGCCATCGGCGGTCAATCAGGATCCTCGGGTTAAATTCTAAAAGCACAAATAAATAAAAAAGATTTCAAAGTATTATTGTCTTATTTACCGTTGATTTAGGCTACCCCAATCGCAAAGAAACATAAAACTGTCGAATACAACTATCCACTGAAAGTGTTTTCATTGTATTCTAGGATACTTCAGGATTACCCATCAAACAAACTCCATCCAGTTTGTTGATACAGCTAGTTGGCTCCTTCACACCTGAGAAAGGCAGTTTTCAGCTATAAAGCAAGCAAGCAGTCTCCCGAAAGTTGCTCAGGACGCCATGATCATCCTGGCGGTTCAATGGAGAACCACAACAATGTAGCATCAAGTACCACCACATTTGAGTCGGTCCTATGAATTTGCTTGTAAAAGTTTTAGACCTCTGAATTCAATTCATAAATACAAATAAAGTTGATTTTTTTTTTACCTCTGGGCTAAGCATGTACCATTGGAAAAGATACAAATAACTGTCGAATACAACTATCCACTGAAAGTGTTTTCATTGTATTCTAGGATACTTCAGGATTACCCATCAAACAAACTCCATCCAGTTTGTTGATACAGCTAGTTGTATCCTTCACACCTGAGAAAGGCAGTTTTCAGCTATAAAGCAAGCAAGCAGTCTCCCGAAAGTTGCTCAGGACGCCATGATCATCCTGGCGGTTCAATGGAGAACCACAACAATGTAGCATCAAGTACCACCACATTTGAGTCGGTCCTATGAATTTGCTTGTAAAAGTTTTAGACCTCTGAATTCAATTCATAAATACAAATAAAGTTGATTTTTTTTTGTTTTTACCTCTGGGCTAAGCATGTACCATTCGAAAAGATACAAATAACTGTCGAATACAACTATCCACTGAAAGTGTTTTCATTGTATTCTAGGATACTTCAGGATTACCCATCAAACAAACTCCATCCAGTTTGTTGATACAGCTAGTTGTATCCTTCACACCTGAGAAAGGCAGTTTTCAGCTATAAAGCAAGCAAGCAGTCTCCCGAAAGTTGCTCAGGACGCCATGATCATCCTGGCGGTTCAATGGAGAACCACAACAATGTAGCATCAAGTACCACCACATTTGAGTCGGTCCTATGAATTTGCTTGTAAAAGTTTTAGACCTCTGAATTCAATTCATAAATACAAATAAAGTTGATTTTTTTTTTTACCTCTGGGCTAAGCATGTACCATTCGAAAAGATACAAATAACTGTCGAATACAACTATCCACTAAAAGTGTTTTCATTGTATTCTAGGATACTTCAGGATTACCCATCAAACAAACTCCATCCAGTTTGTTGATACAGCTAGTTGTATCCTTCACACCTGAGAAAGGCAGTTTTCAGCTATAAAGCAAGCAAGCAATCTCCCGAAAGTTGCTCAGGACGCCATGATCATCCTGGCGGTTCAATGGAGAACCACAACAATGTAGCATCAAGTACCACCACATTTGAGTCGGTCCTATGAATATGCTTGTAAAAGTTTTAGACCTCTGAATTCAATTCATAAATACAAATAAAGTTGATTTTTTTTTACCTCTGGGCTAAGCATGTACCATTGGAAAAGATACAAATAACTGTCGAATACAACTATCCACTGAAAGTGTTTTCATTGTATTCTAGGATACTTCAGGATTACCCATCAAACAAACTCCATCCAGTTTGTTGATACAGCTAGTTGTATCCTTCACACCTGAGAAAGGCAGTTTTCAGCTATAAAGCAAGCAAGCAGTCTCCCGAAAGTTGCTCAGGACGCCATGATCATCCTGGCGGTTCAATGGAGAACCACAACAATGTAGCATCAAGTACCACCACATTGGAGTCGGTCATACGAATATGCTTGTAAAAGTTTTAGACCTCTGAATTCAATTCATAAATACAAATAAAGTTGATTTTTTTTTTACCTCTGGGCTAAGCATGTACCATTCGAAAAGATACAAATAACTGTCGAATACAACTATCCACTGAAAGTGTTTTCATTGTATTCTAGGATACTTCAGGATTACCCATCAAACAAACTCCATCCAGTTTGTTGATACAGCTAGTTGTATCCTTCACACCTGAGAAAGGCAGTTTTCAGCTATAAAGCAAGCAAGCAGTCTCCCGAAAGTTGCTCAGGACGCCATGATCATCCTGGCGGTTCAATGGAGAACCACAACAATGTAGCATCAAGTACCACCACATTGGAGTCGGTCATACGAATATGCTTGTAAAAGTTTTAGACCTCTGAATTCAATTCATAAATACAAATAAAGTTGATTTTTTTTTTTACCTCTGGGCTAAGCATGTACCATTGGAAAAGATACAAATAACTGTCGAATACAACTATCCACTGAAAGTGTTTTCATTGTATTCTAGGATACTTCAGGATTACCCATCAAACAAACTCCATCCAGTTTGTTGATACAGCTAGTTGTATCCTTCACACCTGAGAAAGGCAGTTTTCAGCTATAAAGCAAGCAAGCAATCTCCCGAAAGTTGCTCAGGACGCCATGATCATCCTGGCGGTTCAATGGAGAACCACAACAATGTAGCATCAAGTACCACCACATTTGAGTCGGTCCTATGAATTTGCTTGTAAAAGTTTTAGACCTCTGAATTCAATTCATAAATACAAATAAAGTTGATTTTTTTTTGTTTTTACCTCTGGGCTAAGCATGTACCATTCGAAAAGATACAAATAACTGTCGAATACAACTATCCACTGAAAGTGTTTTCATTGTATTCTAGGATACTTCAGGATTACCCATCAAACAAACTCCATCCAGTTTGTTGATACAGCTAGTTGTATCCTTCACACCTGAGAAAGGCAGTTTTCAGCTATAAAGCAAGCAAGCAGTCTCCCGAAAGTTGCTCAGGACGCCATGATCATCCTGGCGGTTCAATGGAGAACCACAACAATGTAGCATCAAGTACCACCACATTGGAGTCGGTCATACGAATATGCTTGTAAAAGTTTTAGACCTCTGAATTCAATTCATAAATACAAATAAAGTTGATTTTTTTTTTTACCTCTGGGCTAAGCATGTACCATTCGAAAAGATACAAATAACTGTCGAATACAACTATCCACTAAAAGTGTTTTCATTGTATTCTAGGATACTTCAGGATTACCCATCAAACAAACTCCATCCAGTTTGTTGATACAGCTAGTTGTATCCTTCACACCTGAGAAAGGCAGTTTTCAGCTATAAAGCAAGCAAGCAATCTCCCGAAAGTTGCTCAGGACGCCATGATCATCCTGGCGGTTCAATGGAGAACCACAACAATGTAGCATCAAGTACCACCACATTTGAGTCGGTCCTATGAATATGCTTGTAAAAGTTTTAGACCTCTGAATTCAATTCATAAATACAAATAAAGTTGATTTTTTTTTTTACCTCTGGGCTAAGCATGTACCATTCGAAAAGATACAAATAACTGTCGAATACAACTATCCACTGAAAGTGTTTTCATTGTATTCTAGGATACTTCAGGATTACCCATCAAACAAACTCCATCCAGTTTGTTGATACAGCTAGTTGTATCCTTCACACCTGAGAAAGGCAGTTTTCAGCTATAAAGCAAGCAAGCAGTCTCCCGAAAGTTGCTCAGGACGCCATGATCATCCTGGCGGTTCAATGGAGAACCACAACAATGTAGCATCAAGTACCACCACATTTGAGTCGGTCCTATGAATATGCTTGTAAAAGTTTTAGACCTCTGAATTCAATTCATAAATACAAATAAAGTTGATTTTTTTTTGTTTTTACCTCTGGGCTAAGCATGTACCATTCGAAAAGATACAAATAACTGTCGAATACAACTATCCACTAAAAGTGTTTTCATTGTATTCTAGGATACTTCAGGATTACCCATCAAACAAACTCCATCCAGTTTGCTGATACAGCTAGTTGTCTCCTTCACACCTGAGAAAGGCAGTTTTCAGCTATAAAGCAAGCAAGCAGTCTCCCGAAAGTTGCTCAGGACGCCATGATCATCCTGGTGGTTCAATGGAGAACCACAACAATGTAGCATCAAGTACCACCACATTGGAGTCGGTCCTACGAATATGCTTGTAAAAGTTTTAGACCTTTGAATTCAATTCATAAATACAAATAAAGATGTTGTTTTTTTACCTCTGGGCTAAGCATGTACCATTCGAAAAGATACAAATAACTGTCGAATATAACTATCCACTGAAAGTGTTTTCATTGTATTTTAGGATACTTCAGGATTACCCATCAAACAAACTCCATCCAGTTTGCTGATACAGCTAGTAGTATCCTTCACACCTGATAAAGGCAGTTTTCAGCTATAAAGCAAGGAAGCAATATCCCAAAAGTAGCTCAGGACGCTTGATCATCCTGGTGGTTTATTGAAGAACCATACTGCAGACGCTACAGTCATTGCAAAAGTTAAAAAAAAATACTTCCCTGTTGTGAGTCGAAGATGACATCAGTTAACTATTCGGTGTTCGAATACTAGCCAATCATCTGATACACTACCGGAAAGTAAGTTGTAGGTGCTAAAATTGAATGCTAGTGAGTAGATGTACTGATCTTCTCTTGTTAAAATTTTCTACGTATATTCACCAAATAACATATAAAACCTGATGTATCAAAGATAACTGTAGCTGCTTATGAAGTTTAATACGTCTTTCTAATTTGTATGCTGCATAGATGCGGAGCACTTCACTGTTGGGCATTTTTTTTTTTTTTTTTTTTTTTTGTATAAATCCTAATTTTATTTAAGATTCAATAAAAGTCGCACTTCACAATGAGAGGAATGCAGTGATAGTAAAATGATATAATAAGGGATGAGTTAAAATGCGAAGAAAAACAAAGAAAATTAAATGGTAAGAAAATTGGCTGAATTCACGTTGTGCTGGTTGATATAGGTGTGAGCGATACCAATGATAATGCAGACGACCTGATCCGGGATAAAAGGTGTGGAATCAAAAATGAAACTCCAGTAATGTTTCCAAATACCTTCAAGAATAGAGCCAAAAAGAAAAATTGGGGTGGTTCGAAGATGGGGAAGTTGAACGTGTATATACTGGATAGGACCTCAGACGGTTTAAGTAAATATAAGGCAGGTAATTGCGGATATAGACATGTGAAGGTTCGTTTCCAAATCTGCCAATCACGCTGACAAGAGACAAACATATGCTCGGGGTAATGAGAGTTTGTAGAGCATAACGGGCAGAGAGGAGAGTTTACTAGCTGTGGGAGATATCTATGCATGGTGAGGGTCGTATTAACCTTATTATGCAGAATTTGGAACCAGATTTTTTTAGTACGAAAGTTCAACCGACTACGCCAAAAAGCTTTCCAAGTAGAACCGGTGTAGCGTAACTCGCTGAGGAGTGCGGTGGACCGTTTCCTCCCGGAAGGACTTGGTTGAAATTTGATTGATTAATAAAGTGTATCGAAAAAAGTCAGTCAATAGTTCAGTTTCAATCGACCCGAACAGGTGATTGCTGGGTGTCAATAGTCGCAAAGCAAACGGAAACAGTTGGGCTAAATCGAGCAGAAGACTTTGATGAAAGCGAGATCCGAGAATGGGATAATTTTTCTTTGGATCTTGATGAGCGCGCCGAATTAAATGGGAGTGAGTACTGTCGAAAGTGTAGAAGTGTTTTATTTGAACCTTATTGTATACTTTGGTTTTTAAGGGACATTGATCACTGGATGTAGACCAAATATCGTTAATTGGAAGCCCTAAAACCACCGCTATTGGTAATTGAAATTCTGGATGATTATGTGAATCAGGAAGAGTATTGATGCAGCTAATGATAGAACGTATATGTGAGAAGAGATTTAATTTCGAGCGTATTGATTTTGTACTAAAATCGCACTATTTAACATATAAAATCGCATATAAAACCATTCCATCGATCCTTGATCGACAGGTACATAATATCATAACACTCATAAAAAATAATAGCATAAAAAATATCCTGAGTTATACATTTAACAACCCAGGGTTACTAGATGTTCCAATAGAAGATCCCATTTCGAATTATAGATTGGCTACACTGATAAGGCTCATCAGTCATTGGTAAATACAGCCAATAACACCAAGTGAACACAAACTAGCCCATAATTTTACCTACGCTTTAAATAACTATGAATACTCCCCTTTCTTTCGGGATTCACTTTTAATCCAATTAAGATTTCTTCCTCGTGGCAAAAAGGGAGGTGACTGAGATTTAAACGGATAATTTTAGCATCGTCGTCTAAAGCTGGTGTAGACAGAATACACGGAAATGTCTAGACCTCCACAATAAAAATAAAAAACAAAAAAACGTATTTTTTTGTGATTACGTAACGGGAGTTTTCTTTTTATTCTGGGCAATTTTTCCAAAATACGTTTTTTTAAACAAATAAAATGACAGCCAAGTTTCTCGAAGAAAAAGACACTTTCGAAACCGCAGAGGAGTTTCTTGATGCTTGCTATCTCGCAGCTACCAATCTTGGATTCCAAGTTTACGTTAAGGACAGTTCACCACTTGGACGTAATGGTTTGACCCCTTACTACCAATTAGCCTGTGTTTTTGGTAACAAAAATAAGAGGAATGCAAACATCTCGGAAGAAGCACGCAAGAGATTGACATTGACCAACTCGAAGAACTGCCCTTTTATGATCCGGGCCATTCTTCCAAAAAAGGGTAACAAGTGGGTTGTAAAGAAGTGTGTTGCTATCCACACCCATGACATGCTTGTAGGTGACGAGAAAATTTGTTTGGTGAAGAACAGAAAGCTTAGTCCAGCTCAGAAACAAACAGCATTGGAGCATCTTGCTACAGGAACAAAAATATCAGCCATTGTTTCTGTAGTCAATAAAATGGATTATCCTAAAAAGGTCATTGCCAAAGATCTCACGAATATGCGTACTAAGTTAAGAAGAGCTTTGAACGAAGGGGAAAATCAAGAGAATTTAAACCCTTTTATTCGACAAATGGAATTAAGGGGATATACTGTCACTGCTCGTCATGATGAAATCAACCGTTTGGTCAGTCTTTTTTTTTCATACAAAACAGCAGTAGAGAACGTAAAGAGGTGCCCGGAAGTTCTCATGGTGGATGCGACCTACACAACCAATGCTTTTGGATACCCCCTTATCAATGCCATTGGTGTGAACAATGTCAGTGTCGGAAAAAAGAATGGGCTAATGAATTATTCTATTGCTTTGTGTTGGGTTGCAGATGAAACCAAAGAAACGTACAAGTGGTTTTTTAAAACCTTGAACAACCAGGTAATGTTACTATATTTTATTACACATACAAGAAGGATCTAACATCAAATATTCACATCACATCATTTTATCATTGGACTCTTAATAATTTATATTTTACGCTATTATTTTATTTTTTCATTTAAATATAAAATTGTATATTCATCATAATTATTATTGTGTATCCATTCACTATATCAAATTATTATAATCAAAAGGTTTATGATAAAGCAGGCACTTTACCAGAAGTTGTAATAACAGATAGAGCAGCCAGTGTCAGAGGAGCTCTTGACTTGGTTTTTCCCAATGTCAACAAAATGATTTGCGTGTGGCATTTAATTGTTCAAAATCTTAAAACAGCAGCCAGAAAGCTATTTGCTACCGCTGAAGATTGCGAGGATTTTGAAAAACTCTTTTGGAGACTTCACCAGAGTAAGACCGTAGAGGAAAGCGTTAGCAACGTTACTACAATCAAGAGGACAATCGAAAAGTTGGGCTTGGGCCAAAAAGTTTTATCTTTTGTCGAAGAAATAGACAAGGAAGGTAGATTCTGAATTCGTCCGTACACAGACGAATTTTCGCATATGGGAAACTACACGACAAGCCCAGTCGAAAGTGCTCATGCAGCTTTGAAATGGAACAAAAAGCAAATGGGAAATGCAGCTTGTAGGCAGCGTTTGAAAACCTTGACCAGGTTCTTGTGGGTCAAGAAATGAAATCGGTGATGACAAGGGCATACTCGAAGACTAGATGCGACCCTTTCTTAATGAACAATGATATATACAGGCATATCATTTATGTTGTTAGTCAGTACTGCATCGAGAAAATACGAGAACAAGTTGAGCTATTCAACAAGGAAGCCAGTGAAAAGAAATACAGTGCCTGCACACATATATTTCAAGCAACGATGAAAATCTCATGTCGACACAAGATATTCCATGCAGAATATGAATCTCTAATTGACAATGACGACATGCAATGTATGGTGGTGCGTAAGGATATTGCAATCCAGCTAGAGTGGATTGATCGTCGTTGGTTTATTAAGGACACTGAGCCAGTTTCCAATGCTGAAGAGTCAGATCAACTCGAATCAACAATTTCTGTTGGTATGTGTTTTAACTACTTGGTTATAAATACAAGATAACTGACTTTTGTATCATAATAGATCAGTATAAAGCAGGCACAGACTGGTATACTGCTTTATACAATTTGGATAAAGCGTTTGAAGCAATCCCATTCGATTATATGAAGAAAGAAAAACTAGACTCAATAATTAAATTGACTGAGTCCATCAACAATATTTCAGAAATGAAATTATTGCAACCAATGGCCAAAAAATGTGGATTTCCAAACTCGCGTAAGTTAAATATGTACAATGATACAAGACAACTATTCACAATTATTTTTAGAGAAAACCTCAAAGACTGGGAGAATACTGTCTCAGGGCGAGAATACCGAGTTGAGGATTAAGGAAGACATTCGTGCGATAAAAAAGCAAGAAACCCTTAAAAAGGTCAGAACAACGATAGCTATGAGAGCTGCAAAGGCCGTCTTGTTAGAACAGAAAAAAAAAACAAAAAAGCAACCCGTGGAATTTACAAACCTGTCTCCGATAAGTCCATTAAGAGTATGGTAAAAGATGGTGTTCCTAGTTTTATGATAGAGCACATTGACGGTGTTATTGACGTTGGAAAGGATGGAAACTGTGGGTTTCGTGTCATAGCAATCGCTTTAGGTAGAAATGAAGACGACTGCTATGACATCAGAAGAGAGCTTCTGATGCATCTTGAGAAGAAAAAAGCCTTTTTTTTTTGAAGTATACCTTCGCTAGTAACGACGAAGAGTGCATGATGTTTGTGAAAAGAGTAACTTTGGATATCGATGGTCCTTTCCTTGAAGACAACTGGATGGAAATGCCCCAATCAGGTATATATCGTACCATTGAGATTCTTTATTAAACAAGAAACCCTAATTATTTCGAATAGGAATGATTATTTCTGATTTGTACGAACGTCCAGTTCATTTCTTTTCGGCAAAGGGTTGTAGGTCTTTTATTCCAGACTATCCACAAAACAAAAACAAGGCAATTTCACTTGTGTTGTTGGGTGGACATTACTTGAGTCTAAATTTGAAGCCTGATTGTCCTTTACCTAAGTTAAATGTAAACGATCATTATCGGGATCGTATCAACCAAGTTTTCCCAACAAAATGCTACTGGGTACAACTTTTCCAAGACAGAATAAAGAAATTCAAAGATTTAAAAACCATAGCAGATGGACACATTGAAAAGACAACAGAATATGTAGACCTGATAGACAACGAGGAAGTAGATATCAATCACCAAAAATCCGCGTATAGAAGCGATGTAAAAAAAACTACTCAAAAACAAGAGATAACCCAAAAAAGCAAAAAGCAAAAAACAAAAAACCCAAAAACAAGAAAAAACCCAAATAACCCAAATAACCCAAAAACAAGAAATAATTCAAAAAAACCAAAAACAAAATATAAACCAACAAAACCAAAAAATATAGAAAATACAAAAGACACCGAAAAAATAACAATTAGAATACCTGCAAAAGAAACCGAAAAAATAACAATTAGAATACCTACAAAAAACATGAAAAGAAAAGGGCTTACCCAACTTACTCTCAACAAACCTAAAAGAATCAAGACTGACTTCCAACCTATGTTAGATTCAACAAAAAAACAAATCGAAAGCTTCCATACGATACTTAACAAAATGAAAAAAATGAACGACGAGTCAAAAACACTTTGTCCTATTTGCTCAGACAAAATTTGCTCAGTTGAAACTTTAGATAACAATCCATACACAGAGCGCATCAAAATCCATGCAGAAAAAATGACGTTTATTGCATTCAATAGCGATCTTTCAAAAAGGCAAGCAAACACAATTGAATCTGAAATACCAACAGATCGTTCATACATGGAAGATCACCAAGAACTACTTAATAAACTAGATGAGGCAAGAACGTCATGTGAAGAAGTCGGCCGAAGTATTTGTCTCGATCACAAGATTGCAAGCTTCGAGCCTCTCATTCAAAAATACAAATGTTATAATCACATCAAAACCTTAAAAAAGCGTGTAAAATTTTTGCTTGTTGGCACTGATCTCATACCAAGTATGCTTGATCAGTCATTCATCAGTGATTTTCAAGTTAGAGCCACTCAACTAGAATCAGAAGGAAGCACAAAGCACAACAAGTTTGAAGCACAATCAAGTTCTGACCGTATGTTTAATTTTTGATATTTTCTTAAAACAGGCATTAACTTATTACATTTTTCAATTTGTAGTCTGGTTACTACGGTCCACGCGGAAAAGAAATCATTGGGAATGTAATCAGCAAACAATTAAACAAAGACAACTTCAAAGGATCTGCCGCTTCTATAAATTCTTCCTTAAGCTTCTCATGCTTCTATTTCGCTGTTGTCTTTCCAGAAATTTGTGTCAGACTTATTTCTTCAGACCAAGGCGTTACCAAAGCTGAAGCATTATCCATAATGTTGGCGACATCTGAACTAGGCGAAATAATCAATAACACAATTGACAAGTAGACTTCAACCCAACTATTTAAATAAACAAATATATATATATTATCTCAATAAAAACAACATCTTTCTTACTTCATTGCAACTTATTTGGTTCAGAAAAAAATACGGAGGTCTAGACATTTCCATAAAGTAGTACGTTCAAAAATTGTAAGCCTTTTTGATGTATTTTATAATTTCAAAGAAAGTTACATCGATCATTCCTCTTTAAATAATCAAATACTCCATGTTGTAGACCAGCTTAGTTAATGCATTAAATTTCTTATATCTTTTTGGTGATTTACAGGGTTGATCAAATTTGGCCTCAGACATTGATTTAATACCGTTCAAAACATGGGCCTTCGGTAGCCCGTAACAACGCCAATTCGCGGAAATCGAGAAGTAAATTGCATGCTGTTTTTTTTTGGTTCATTTTGCATTTTGAGCTTTTGTCCAGACTTAGTTTGCACTTCTGCGTTATTGCCAAAGGTTCGTTTTAAATTTTATCACTATTGGAGCAACAAAAAATACTGGAATGTTCGATGCAACTTTGCTGGCTTTGTACTGATAATATTTAAGTTACAAATCTGTGGAACAAAATCTTAAAGCACAAACATATTTGAGCAATACTAATCTTGTTATTTTAATAGGAAGTGTAACATATCAATGCAATTATGTATAAGAAAGGCAAGTATCGAGTAATCAAGGCGGATCCTTGTAAATATATAAAAGGTTTATTAACATAATTTATGTTGGTATAATAAAAAAAAAATGAAAAGTGTGCTGATGATGGTACACATGCATATCTAGGGAAGAGTTATCACATTCGAAAACATTGTGAGATTGGTCGCTTCGGTATGTCACAACAATTTAGAACTTACCATTGTCACGTATGGAACAAAGTTCCTACAAAACATCCAATTAAATAGTTAAATGGGTTTCCACACCGCTTTACTTCGCGTAACATTGCCATCGGCGGTCAATCAGGATCCTCGGGTTAAATTCTAAAAGCACAAATAAATAAAAAAGATTTCAAAGTATTATTGTCTTATTTACCGTTGATTTAGGCTACCCCAATCGCAAAGAAACATAAAACTGTCGAATACAACTATCCACTGAAAGTGTTTTCATTGTATTCTAGGATACTTCAGGATTACCCATCAAACAAACTCCATCCAGTTTGTTGATACAGCTAGTTGTATCCTTCACACCTGAGAAAGGCAGTTTTCAGCTATAAAGCAAGCAAGCAGTCTCCCGAAAGTTGCTCAGGACGCCATGATCATCCTGGCGGTTCAATGGAGAACCACAACAATGTAGCATCAAGTACCACCACATTGGAGTCGGTCATACGAATATGCTTGTAAAAGTTTTAGACCTCTGAATTCAATTCATAAATACAAATAAAGTTGATTTTTTTTTTTACCTCTGGGCTAAGCATGTACCATTCGAAAAGATACAAATAACTGTCGAATACAACTATCCACTGAAAGTGTTTTCATTGTATTCTAGGATACTTCAGGATTACCCATCAAACAAACTCCATCCAGTTTGTTGATACAGCTAGTTGTCTCCTTCACACCTGAGAAAGGCAGTTTTCAGCTATAAAGCAAGCAAGCAGTCTCCCGAAAGTTGCTCAGGACGCCATGATCATCCTGGCGGTTCAATGGAGAACCACAACAATGTAGCATCAAGTACCACCACATTTGAGTTGGTCCTATGAATATGCTTGTAAAAGTTTTAGACCTCTGAATTCAATTCATAAATACAAATAAAGTTGATTTTTTTTTGTTTTTACCTCTGGGCTAAGCATGTACCATTCGAAAAGATACAAATAACTGTCGAATACAACTATCCACTAAAAGTGTTTTCATTGTATTCTAGGATACTTCAGGATTACCCATCAAACAAACTCCATCCAGTTTGTTGATACAGCTAGTTGTCTCCTTCACACCTGAGAAAGGCAGTTTTCAGCTATAAAGCAAGCAAGCAGTCTCCCGAAAGTTGCTCAGGACGCCATGATCATCCTGGCGGTTCAATGGAGAACCACAACAATGTAGCATCAAGTACCACCACATTTGAGTTGGTCCTATGAATATGCTTGTAAAAGTTTTAGACCTCTGAATTCAATTCATAAATACAAATAAAGTTGATTTTTTTTTGTTTTTACCTCTGGGCTAAGCATGTACCATTCGAAAAGATACAAATAACTGTCGAATACAACTATCCACTAAAAGTGTTTTCATTGTATTCTAGGATACTTCAGGATTACCCATCAAACAAACTCCATCCAGTTTGTTGATACAGCTAGTTGTCTCCTTCACACCTGAGAAAGGCAGTTTTCAGCTATAAAGCAAGCAAGCAGTCTCCCGAAAGTTGCTCAGGACGCCATGATCATCCTGGCGGTTCAATGGAGAACCACAACAATATAGCATCAAGTACCACCACATTTGAGTCGGTCCTATGAATATGCTTGTAAAAGTTTTAGACCTCTGAATTCAATTCATAAATACAAATAAAGTGGATTTTTTTTTTACCTCTGGGCTAAGCATGTACCATTGGAAAAGATACAAATAACTGTCGAATACAACTATCCACTGAAAGTGTTTTCATTGTATTCTAGGATACTTCAGGATTACCCATCAAACAAACTCCATCCAGTTTGCTGATACAGCTAGTTGTATCCTTCACACCTGAGAAAGGCAGTTTTCAGCTATAAAGCAAGCAAGCAGTCTCCCGAAAGTTGCTCAGGACGCCATGATCATCCTGGCGGTTCAATGGAGAACCACAACAATGTAGCATCAAATACCACCACATTTGAGTCGTTCCTTCGAATATGTTTGTAAAAGTTTTAGACTTCTGAATCCAATTTATAAATGCAAATAAAGTTGATTTCTTTACCTTTGGGCTAAGCATGTACTCTTCGAAAAGACACAAATAGCTGTCGAATATAACTATCCACCAAAAGTGTTTTCATTGTATTCTAGGATACTTCAGGATTACCCATCAAACAAACTCCATTCAGTTTGCTGATACTTCTAAATGTATTCTTCACATCTGATAAAGGCAGTTCTCAGCTACAAAGCAAGCAAGCAATTTCCCAAAAGTTGCTCAGGACGCCTGATCATCCTTGAGGTTCAATGGAGAACCACACTGCAGACGCAAAAGTTAAAAAAAAAATGTTTCATCAGGCTGTATTTATCATAGGTTGTTTATACTAGTGTTGCAGCCAATCAAGCAGCAGCATAAACGCCAACATAAACCACATATATTTTCCAGAAAATATAGCATTAACTCAAAATTCTCATTACCAATTACACGGAAGAGTTTACAATCTGTTACAAAATTATCGATGGCATTAATTTTCTCAATTTTATTGACAAGTAAAAGCTTTGTAATTAATTAGGTACGGCCATAAGACTCTGGTCGATACAATATGCTAGAAATGGCATAAAAAGCTATATCCGTGGTTCCATGGTTACAATAAGCCAGGATTTTGAAAAGAAAGAGGATCACATGATCCTAATGATTAACTTCCTTTTGGACATCAAAATATGAATTTCATTTTTGTTGAGAGAGAAAAGTTGGGAAGCACAAATTAATTGCAGGCTCGCTGGGAAAAAACAGTCAGCGTATTAACATTACTTAAAGGTGAGCATGACATGGTATGCAATGATCCTGACAACAGCCAACAAGTCTCTTTGTCTTCATTAAAATGTCGAAGATATCTAAATTAACTTTGATATCGACGTCAAGAACCTTGCTAGCCCAAAGCATCCGTTTGTTACTACGCCTGAGAGTGATTATTAAAAGTTTTATGTTTTATCTGTGCATTATAAATGTGTGGGGGGCTATTAAGTGTGTTTGAGATAGTATATCATTTTATATTTCACAAGTAAGCGATATGTCAATATTAGAAGGCACATATCTTTTTAAAGCCAAAATTAACGCCCATCCTTTGTTTTTCTTTTTATCCCTTCGCTGAAATAATAATACAACCAGATAATATTTTATTATTGAATGAGAATACATGATTACTTGGATCGCTTTACAACGGCCGCAACAAGTGCAGCACCTACAGCTACAACACCACTGACAATAGCTAATCCAATGACACCCTCTATACCGTATATAAGTAACTGTCATGTGTCTCCCCCCCAAAAAAAAAGTTGGATGTTTACCTGTGGATACTTTTTCATCAATCATTTGTTTTAAACTTGTTGCTTGATCATTACGTGGTTCCAGCTTTAATAACTGATCATTAAATCGTCTTGCTTCTGAGTAATTTTTGATTTTAAAATTGCCAATGGCTAAAAAGTAAAGACACTCTCTTCTTCTCTCTGGTGCGTCCGTGTAGATTTCTGTTTGTGTGTGTGTGTTTTAGTTTTTTTTTTGTTGTTGCTGTTATGCAGCAGTTTACATGATTAGTTTAAATGCTAACCTGTAAGTAATTTGATACCGAGTTCAATATGGTCTGATTTGCTAGACTTAATTAATCCCCATGCATAATTGAATTTGGTTTGAATCGTCACATATTCTCCTTCCTTGATGTATTGGCGTCGAAGTACCTGAATGCACAGAGTTTTCATTTTTAATTACGAAAAGGGAATACTTTTATTGTCCTGTAGTTCCTTACCTCGAGTTCAGCAGCACTGAGAGGAATCTCGGCATCTTGTAATAATGGGGAATCAGACTTCATTTTATGGTATAGTGAAGAGGGAAAATAAAAAAGAAATAAAAATGTTTTTTGTTTTTTATTATTCGCCCCGGATGACGTATTTTATGAAGCTAAAAAAAAAAAAAAATGCATGAAACTTGTTCCTGCCTTAAAAATTAAGGAGTTGAGAATGGCCTAAACCATGGTGGTGGTGAATGACGGTTTTCGGTGATGAATCATTTTGGTCGTGGCGTGACTCCAATGCTCCCTAAAATCTTACTGCAGGGAGATTTCTTTGGGCTGATTTTCCCTGTCAAATTAATAATATTCAGCCTGCTTTCTGCTGCGGTTTATATATATTTATAATATCGACAAATCTTTTTTTTTTTTTTAACCGTCTTTTTTTTTTCTCTCATTAAAATTTCCCCATTTTTACTAAAGAAGATAAAATGCGATACGCACCTTGTACACATTGTGGCTCAGTCATTGTTTTTGACGCTAACCAACCCTTGTGTGGAAGTTGCGCTCTCTTCATGGAAGAGGAGCAGGTAATGAAGGGAAAAAGAAGGAGGTGTTTATGGGATGAGAAAATTAACTCTAAATAGACAGAGCAACTTGAGTATTTACAATCAGTGAGAGAAGAAAATGAAGATTGGGGATCCGAAGCTGATCTTGCCGAAGCTGATTTATTTGAAGAAGAAATGCGACAACAAATGGAAGAAGACGATCAAATGTTGTATGCGGATAGGTTAAGGGGTAATACCACGAGTGACGGGCTTTTCCGAAGGATTTACACAGCTGAAAGTTTACAACAAGAAGAAGAAGAGGAATTATATGAAAATGATCAGGATGACTTTGATTTTGATATGAGCTATGACGATAATATTCAGGCCATTCGTGATGGTCTATCCACCAGGCGTTTTGAATTAGCGCTGGATCGTTCCGCTTTAGCCCAACGCTTGCTCAGGTAACATTTTTACTCATCTCCTTCTCTACCCTTACTAACTTCTGATCAATAGAATATTTGTCAATGAAGACGGACTTGATACTGAAAGGTTAAAAAATAATATATTATTTTGGGGAGTCAATAATAGTAACCTGATGTTCTTTTTTAGCCAGGCCAAAGGCGCTACTGAATCTGACATTGCAACTTTAAAAACACGCACCTCCAGTATGAACGAGCAAGGTACATTAGTTTATTTATAGTTTAAACAAACATTTACATCTCTTTTTAGAATGTGCTATTTGCACAGAACACTTTAACAACCTAGAGTTGACACAGTTACCATGCAAGCATGAGTATCATTCTGAATGCATTCATCATTGGTTAAAGTTGAACGCTTCTTGTCCCATGTGGTAACTATATAAACACCCCCACCCCCTATTCTTATATCTTGTCATCTAAACATATGATTTTTATTTTGGCAGCCGGCAATCTATATCAACTTCATCGCAACAAGTGCAGGAAGAACCTGATCTTATCATCTTGAGCAGAGAAACGGCCACTTACATGCAACAAACGAACTCTCCTTCGTCTTTTATGGACGATGTCGATTAACTCAATCGACTCACACAACAAAAAGGGGACCGGAGACCTTTCAAATTATTATTTTTTCCCACTCTATGTGTGTTACCTTCCCATTTATACGCAAAAAGATATCCCGTCATAGAGCCGATTTTTTCGCAATAACAATAAAAAGGTTAAATAAACTCCCAATGCTTTAAATCACTATAATCCACATGAAAGTGTTGTTAAACACTTTTTATCTCACTTTTGGTTTCATCCTGATCTGGCTGAAACACTCATCTAAGTTTATCGGCGCTTGTACACAATGACCTTGTACGCCACCATATAGTGCACGCAGTTATAACATCTCCGTTGTCCTTAAGACTGTAAAACAAGAATACCTATACAATCAAAAACAATGCAATAGCTATGGATGAATACACTTCTTCTGACTACTCAATCGTTACTCCTTTACCCTTGCGCTCGTTTGATCTTAACCGTTGGTAGACATATAAGGGTAAGGTACAGACGAGACGCTAAAAATAAGCTGGAAATCAGTCAGACATACCATATGTTTACTGTAACTAATCTATATCTTGCTTAAAGAGATAAAATACATTGACCTCTTGGGATCCCGTAAGGTATCCGATCCTGCATTACAACTTACGCCTAAAAGACCCAGTATTTACATTATAGGTAAAGGCTCAAACATCATGGGTGCTTAAATAAGCAATTAAATCATCCTGACATACGTAATCTCTTGTTTATTAATCTATAAATAAAACCCGTTTACTGATTAAATAAACACTTACATCATCCTGATGTAAGCCAGCTCTAGGATTAGCCTATAAATGAAAATCGTTCACACACTTTTTTTTCTTTCACTCTTCTTTTCATTTCTTTATACATACATAGATAAACATAACACTATCTTTTTAAAGAAAAGTAACGGATATTATGAAAAGGTTGGTTAATAGCTATTTTTAATTTTTTCAGAAACGCTAACGTATCACATCTTTGTTTTTTTAAAAAAAAGAGATGTATTCCAATTTTTGATTTATCATGGCTAAGGTTAATCTTCGGTATATGATAAAGACCTCTTCGTTATCCTTTGTGGGCTTTGTAATCCTCTGGCTTACAATTTCAACCGTGGTTGGGCAGAAAATTGAGGTGATCGTCGTTAGCACAAGGCTATGTGATCCGCTAATAAAAGCAAGTTTCGTAAGTATTAAACAATCACATGACTCTAAAAAAGACACAGAAAAATTTAAAAAAGACGTAGGTGTATCCAACAAGAATACATGATGAAGACCTCTTCGTTATCCTTTGTGGGCTTTGTAATCCTCTGGCTTACAATTTCAACCGTGGTAGGGCAGAAAATTGAGGTGATCGTCTTTAAGACAAGGCTAATGGAATCAACTTTCGTAAGGATTAAACAAACACATGACTCTAAAAAAGACACAGAAAAATTTAAAAAAGACGTAGGTGTATCCAACAAGAATACGTGATGAAGACCTCTTCGTTATCCTTTGTGGGCTTTGTAATCCTCTGGCTTACAATTTCAACCGTGGTTGGGCAGAAAATTGAGGTGATCGTCGTTAGCACAAGGCTATGTGATCCGCTAATAAAAGCAAGTTTCGTAAGTATTAAACAATCACATGACTCTAAAAAAGACACAGAAAAATTTAAAAAAGACGTAGGTGTATCCAACAAGAATACGTGATGAAGACCTCTTCGTTATCCTTTGTGGGCTTTGTAATCCTCTGGCTTACAATTTCAACCGTGGTTGGGCAGAAAATTGAGGTGATCGTCGTTAGCACAAGGCTATGTGATCCGCTAATAAAAGCAAGTTTCGTAAGTATTAAACAATCACATGACTCTAAAAAAGACACAGAAAAATTTAAAAAAGACGTAGGTGTATCCAACAAGAATACATGATGAAGACCTCTTCGTTATCCTTTGTGGGCTTTGTAATCCTCTGGCTTAAAATTTCAACCGTGGTTGGGCAGAAAATTGAGGTGATCGTCTTTAAGACAAGGCTAATGGAATCAACTTTCGTAAGGATTAAACAAACACATGACTCTAAAAAAGACACAGAAAAATTTAAAAAAGACGTAGGTGTATCCAACAAGAATACGTGATGAAGACCTCTTCGTTATCCTTTGTGGGCTTTGTAATCCTCTGGCTTACAATTTCAACCGTGGTTGGGCAGAAAATTGAGGTGATCGTCGTTAGCACAAGGCTATGTGATCCGCTAATAAAAGCAAGTTTCGTAAGTATTAAACAATCACATGACTCTAAAAAAGACACAGAAAAATTTAAAAAAGACGTAGGTGTATCCAACAAGAATACATGATGAAGACCTCTTCGTTATCCTTTGTGGGCTTTGTAATCCTCTGGCTTAAAATTTCAACCGTGGTTGGGCAGAAAATTGAGGTGATCGTCTTTAAGACAAGGCTAATGGAATCAACTTTCGTAAGGATTAAACAAACACATGACTCTAAAAAAGACACAGAAAAATTTAAAAAAGACGTAGGTGTATCCAACAAGAATACGTGATGAAGACCTCTTCGTTATCCTTTGTGGGCTTTGTAATCCTCTGGCTTACAATTTCAACCGTGGTTGGGCAGAAAATTGAGGTGATCGTCGTTAGCACAAGGCTATGTGATCCGCTAATAAAAGCAAGTTTCGTAAGTATTAAACAATCACATGACTCTAAAAAAGACACAGAAAAATTTAAAAAAGACGTAGGTGTATCCAACAAGAATACATGATGAAGACCTCTTCGTTATCCTTTGTGGGCTTTGTAATCCTCTGGCTTAAAATTTCAACCGTGGTTGGGCAGAAAATTGAGGTGATCGTCTTTAAGACAAGGCTAATGGAATCAACTTTCGTAAGGATTAAACAAACACATGACTCTAAAAAAGACACAGAAGAATTTAAAGAAGACGTTGGTGTATACAACAAGAATACATAAAAGAACACCTTTCATATATAGATATCAAAGCCTTCTGTGATGATCTGACCTACTTCTCAACAAAATCATAATAAACATCAGATACATCTTACATCATACATCTTACACTAAAATATAATAATGTGCTTCTACTCTCAGTTTACTAAATGTTTGAAAAGTCCGCCCACTTTTTAGTAAAAAATTGGCCACTTGAGCGAAGATAAATTGCCCAGAAAAAAAAATATTTTGCCCGAATGTTTGAACTTAATTTGCCACTTCTTACAAATAAAATGGCAAAACTAAAGGTTAAAAGATTTTATAACAATTCTTTATTTAAACATTTGGGAAAAGTATTGATAGAATGCTGGATAAATTTTGAATATGTTTAATAGGAACATCGTGGCAGCCTTCTATTATTCTAGTAGTAAGGTTCTCTAAACTACTAAGTTTATCACGTTAACCTTATCTTTTAACACTTTCCAAAACATCTCAATAGGATTTAGCTCAGGTGAAATGAGGCAAGAATATGGGTACATAGCCTCTTTCTTCAATCAAAGGGTCAACAAGCTATGACTATGAATTGGGGCATTGTCCATAACAATGTGACATCCTTTCATATTTGGACATTCGTCCATGGTATAAACTGGAGGTAATGACCAGCAGTTGTACCTTTAGGGATTTCTGATGCTGTATCACCAGGTACTTTACGCTTAGTGGCTCCTACCACCTTTCTTTTCTTTAGGTTACCTGGATCCCTGATACTCCGATTTACAACCCCAAATGCTGATACCGCGCCGGTTACGGTATGCGAAAACCCTCTCATAGAGGGTGACTCAATAACAGCCTCAGTTCCTCGTTGTGACCAAGCTCTTGAACGGCGCATGTTTATGTCGAAACCCGATTTATCAAGGAAGACACAATTTTTCATAAAATCCATCCCTTTAGTAGGCCATTCCTCAACAAATTTAGCACAAGCCTCCAATGTTTTGTTGCTATTTCTGGCTACAGTGTAAGGAGCGACTACTTTGATACTGAGGTTGCAATCTTCTTTCATAAATTCTGAAACTCTGATTTTCTTTATCTGCAGACCTTCGAAGCTTCTGGTCAGATTTTCCACCGCATCTTGGATGACAGCTGATGGGTTTTCGTCAAAAAGTCCGTAAGGTAAGCTTTGTGTTGTTCATTTAGCTTGCTTTCGGGTCTGTTTGACGTGCGATTGATTTTTTTAAAGGGAATGTTCTTATCTGGATCTTGATCGTAAGCATGTTTCCACTTTCTTGTAGTCTCAAATAGTTGACGTTAGCATAGATCTTTGGCAGCTTCAGACGGTTTCATGAGCTTTTCCTGAATGAAATAAAATAACGCAATCGATCTTCGTCTGTGTAATAGTTGTAAACAGTTGGTCTTTCTGCCTTTTTTGCTGCTTCTGACATGTCAATATCCTTAGGTTCTTCGTTATCTGTGGCTACTTTTTTATTTTTAATATATATAGAGACACTATCTACTTTTTTAGACCATGCTTTACTTATTGCTACCAAGGTGAAATATCTGTTTAGACTTTGAGCTAAAAAATGATTATTGACAAGTTCATTGTACAATTTATACTCCTCATATGTGTGTACGGGAGTCAATGCAAATATAATTCCTAGTCTAATAGCCAGATAGTGGTACTTATTGTACTTGGTTGATCTCAATGCATCTGAAAATACTTGCGGATTCGTGTTATGTGGCATAAAATTCAACAACAGCATCTTTACGGTAGGCAGTTTTACTGCAACAAGAGAGCTCACTTCCAAAACATCTACAATACTGTTAAGTATCAGTAATCAACTCAAGAAAAAACTCAATTATAAATCTGCGACTAATTACCTGGGGTCAATACTTGTATTTTAAAATCTTTTCCATCATTGATAAGTTTTCTTCCTTGTGACGATAATCCAGAATCTTGTCTTAAAGGTAGGAGGTAACTAAAAGTATCTATAACCTCCTGAGAAACAGGGCATATTCCGAATTGTTCGTTCGAATCAACAAGATGGTGAGAATTACCGTAAGAGTCAGCATATGACGGAATAAATTCTTGATCAACATCAGCACGTAACTTATTCAGAGCTTGAACAAACCAGGCATTGTAACGGCTTCGATGCTCGATATTAAATTTATTTCTGCTTCCAACCTAGTTATATACTTAATTAATTACTCACTGAATCAAATTTTGTAGCTCTGATCTTACTGAAATGTTGTGGCGCAGACGATAGTCAGCGAGAGCACAATCAGCCT